GGACAACGAGTCATAATCCTCATAAACATGTGTCCCACGTGAAACTGTAAAAATGTTTGTGAAGCGTATTTGCTACGAGCTAAGTTAAATTATCCAGATCTCTAGCATGTGCGCGTTAATGAAAATTTGAATAAAAACTGTGGATATTTTTAGTTATTTACACGACTGAAGTAGCTATAGGTATGCGCGAACATTCCGCTGTTTCCGAAAAATGTTAATTCGAATTGTCTTCGCATTTTCACTACCTACTACCATAGAGTTACGGAAATTGGCCAAGGAGAATACCCACTCACTTTTAATTAAATTGTAATTCCTGAAGTCCAAGGGGAAATTATAAATTTGTATGAGTATTTTCTCTGTTCTCTTATTCGCCGATTTGTTTCAAATGTTACTGACTACCGCCATAGAGTAAATAATATACTATTGCCAGTTTAAAACGAACGGAAAACGAACAAGTTTTAAGGAATGAGGTCCGAATGGCTGCAGTTTATATCCGATCCTTGAAGGTGAAGATATAGTATACATCTCTTGATGAATATATGGGAAAGTGAGGGCCAAACCAAAAAGATTGCAACTTCCATATGGTCTAACTAAGGTTTAGAAAGAGTGTTTAGTTGGAGAGGCAACTATTGCCGCGTGGTTTAGCCCAAAAAAATAGACTATAACAGACTATACGGACCTATACTTTAGGTGTCTGTTACAATGTTATCCATTAAGTTTACCAACTAAAAAATCATCGCGTCCTATCCCCACCAGCTTACTCAAAGCACGTTGAACAACTCAGAATGTCGAAATCCTCATCCCCATAACCTCCTTGATGATGAATCCTTCTAAGACGCAAGAAACATTGCGAGGAAAGTGATTTCACTCGTCAAAACAAGCAGTTGAAGCTTAAGTTCTTTTATTATGATAAAAAAATCTCACAATATAAAGGCCCTTGGAGTCACTTAGAGAAGCTGTCAATGGAGCCAAGCATAAAGCTAGGTGGGAAACTTAAACACCTATAACCCAAGAGTTTTCGTAGAAAAACATAAATCTAAATGTAATAATGTATGGCGAAGCCTTTCTATGGCCACCATCGCTTGCCATACGTGAAAAGGACTGCAGACATCCCCAGTGGTAGCAGTTCACAAGATTGATCTGGAAGGTTCTTCAACTCGTAAAACAATAATCTTTCCTCGTGCATAAAGCAATCTTTGCCCACGATTTGTACATATTTCTTTGAGAAAGCGAATTGTAAAGTTATGGTTTTTGCTTTCTATGCTGTACGACAACAGTATAGTGTATGATAATATTACATACGGCACTTGCACGTTAATTGTTAACACAAATACAGAGTATTTTTGCTAAAGTTTGCACCTTCTAATAAGCGGGTGTCCGAAAAACGTCCGAACACGTCAAATTTCTATTAAAGGCAGTCTAAGTTAGACTTCATTTTCAAATCTTGCTTCTCATTCCCTTTGGTACAGGGTCGCCACCCCTTTGAAAAACACCAAGATGACATGGGGTTGGTTGATAATTCGTTTGAAAACTTATTCAATTCTCTAACAAGATCTAACCTAATTTTGACTTCCATCAAGTTAATGAAAATACATCTATGTTGTATCGGAATTCGGAGTAATGCCCCCCCCCCCCCACTGCTTTTCATTAATTTTGGGAACACAAAAAAACGTTTCAAAAATGTAGTATCTGATTGTGTTCAATATACAGGGAGTATCCAACAAAATGCATTTTCAAGAACTTTAATATGACACCCTGTATATTTTTATGGTTTTGAGTAGCCCTGTATTTGCTGATTACAATATGTAATAGTATCATTTTTAATGACTTTGGTAACAAATTAAAATCAAAACTACTTTAACATTCTAAACTGAATACCTAGACATTCTCAGTTATAGTTAAAAAAAGATTGTATAAACCACTTGGGAACACGTCAAATTTCTTGTGATAAATTAACAGGTTTTTTATGGTTCAACGATAATTACTAATTTTATAATTTGTTGTACGTTGGAAAAATTTCGTTTAATTTCTACTTCTTCTCTTCTTTTTATATAGAGAAATTTAATTATCCTTCTAAAAAATTAAGCTTTCGAATTTCAAACCAAGCCAAAAATTAGTCCATGTGTCCATTAGTCCATTATAGTACATTTTGAGAAATTATGACCATTTTTGTTGTCTAACCAAGAATTCCAGTTGCATTTCTAAACCTGCCTCTGAATTGGTAATTTTCATTTGGAAACGCAAATCCCAAATGCAGTCGAGATCGGGCGTTTCCTTTCGTTTATGACAAAAGGCGCAACCGTTTCTTTACATGGGGTAGTTTTACCATTTTCAAAAAAGTTTCAGAAATTCGTGTGAGCATTCACATCAGAGTCGAAATTATCATTTAAGGTAAAATAGGGGTGCAAGGAAGAAATTTTCCTTAGCTGAATTGTTTGAGCGAATATTTGAGGGCGCGATTTCCGGAAAAAAATTTTGGAGACAATGCGAGTTTCCTTGGGGGCGAACATTCAAGGGGCTAGATCAGATTTGCTGAAGTCAGTTTTTTACCTACAATCTTTGAAAAATCTAAAATATGGCCGAAGGGTCATCTACTGCAGCAATTTGGTGTACAAAAATTAAGCAGTAAATAAAATTAATAAACATTAACTGAGCATAAATATGCAGTAACTGGCATTATTAAGGCAGTAACAAAGAACTAGGTAGTTTATTCCTCATTATTGAACGTGTAAGTCTAACCCTCGATTTGGTTTTAAAACATTGCATCAAAGACTGAATTATTCCTTCGAGCATTCAGTATCTGTCCGATATCTCGAAAATGAATGGACAGATTACGATTAAATTTTGCAGGTGGATTTCTTTATGAAATTTGTAGATCGGAGTTAGTGAATTGGCAATGTAGGCCAAAAAATAAGGAAGACGCTTTTGCCATCTCCGTTAGTTATGAACCCAATTGCATGAAATTCAAAATTAGCACTGTGCGCTAATGCAGCCACTTTCTCTGTTCGGCCGTCTGCCTGGCCGTTCGTCCGTCCCTTCTCCTACAGTTTTCAATATATTTAGTAAGTTCTTTTTGAATTAGATAGCTTATAGCTCTCGGAGCTCAGCCAAGAAAAATCTTGACGATTAACCGCATACAATAAAAATCATATGTGCGCATGCACAATGCCAACTTTCATATTTATGGAGATATTTCGTTGAAATTTTAAACAAAGATGCTTTCAGTAAAAGCACACGTATCGCATATTGTAAACATCAGATTCATGCGCGCATTCGCAGGATTGCGAGATCAATTGTCTTGTGTATCGAGATATCTTTTTGAAATTTTAAATCACAGATGCTTCTAGTAAAGGAAAACATAGCGCACATAGCTATGCCCTTTTGGGAAGTGCTGATCAATGCATGGAAAATGCGCTGAAGATACTCGCCTTAGGGCGAAAACCTTTTTGCTTGTTTTATTGAAAACTGTTTGAGAATTTTCTACTTACATTCAGAGTATACAATAGCGTTATGGTATATTTTGAGAAATTCTGACCATTTTTGTTGTGTAACCAATTGCAGTAATTTTCATTGCCCACAAATCTCAAATTCAGTCGAGATTAGGCCTTTCCTTGCATTTAGGACAAAAGGCGTAACCGTCCCTTTACATGGGGTAGTATTACCATCATTTTTAAAAATCAACAATTCGTATTAACCCTCACACCTCCAATTGAATATTTCCCTTAAGGGAAAATATGGGTACTTTCTCTTTCGTGAGAAGGAAGGAATTTTCCGTAGCTGATGGTTTCTTTAAGCGAATATTTAAGGGCGAGTATCGCAGAAAATTTTTTTGGAAACGAGGGGAGTTTTCTTGGGAGCCAACATTCAGTGGCCTGGAATGAGTTCTTTCCTACAATCTTTGACAAATCTAATGTATGTTAGGCAGTTCATTATTAAAATTGGATCACAAGATGTGTTTTCCCTTTAACTAGCAATACAGAGAGATCAAATGGCAACTGCTCGTAAGTGATAATCTTAACAACGAAAGAAGCCAGAAGTACCAGATGCACATCGCCATAGGGTACTTATGTAAAGAATGTTAATGCTTTCTCAACAGCCTCGCTTCTTAAATTCACAGTTAATACATCGTAACACTCATGGTGGGGATTATAATTTGTGATCCAATTCGTCCGATTATCCACCGGGCGGATAAGGAATACTCTAGCTTGTTTTTCAGGAGAAAAAAGCTAACATCATACTTAAACCAAACATTTAGACAATGGTCCTGAATACCCCACATTTATAATTTGAAAGAGCGAATTAAATTAAAAACAAAGTAGATCTGAAGATAGTTATTAAATGATACAAATTTTAACATTTCTTTTATAATGCATCCACTGAAAACGTTAATCCGGCGCCATTCACTGTCATAAGGCAGAAATCAGATTGATTTCCTCCCATACTCCGACTTTATTGTGAAAGCCTAGCATTGCAAAGGCAAATATTCAAATTCGCACTTTCGATTTCGCTAACGAACCCCTTATTACAACACTTAAACCCCCTATTAAAATACCTATCAGTATAATTTCGCAATTATTCAGTTCAGTCATGGGCAACGTAAATTCGTAAGGGTGCAGCTAGTATTTGACCTGGAATTCTACGCGAGCTTTTCCAAAAATAGACACTCGGAATTAACTGTTTAACTTTGGGGCAGTGTTTATCAACACTTTCGCATATGACCTTGATGGAAATCGCTTCAATCGCAATTTTTCGCGTGTTCGTTTTTACCCAGAACGGCCAAATATTCCATTCGACCGGCGCTACAGGTCGCACCAAAATTTATACCGAGTCCTCCACTTTCTTTATTATTTCTCTATAAATTTGAGCTAAGGGAGAAAAAAGTCACATTATGTACGTTCGGAAGTTTTCTCAGTTCGCAAATCTATTCATAGAATCCAATTTCAACATAAATTATTAATCGTGGAAAGTCTTTACGGGGTGAATATTTTTAGACTACTTACCCGGCATTTCCTTAAAGGTAACTGGAAACATTCTTCGACAATTAACGAACATCACGTCGTTATGAATTTGGTACATTTACAAAATGTGTACACATCTCTCAAAAAAAATGTCTGAATGGATGAATATTAAACCCGTACGCAATCATGAGCGAACTGTCTGCACGGTCCTAGTTCGCGCTCCGAAAAAAACGATTATTTGCGAAATCTACACGTCGATAACGGAATTTTGTAATTATTTTGCATGTTACATGATTTTTTCTAACCTAAAATTTTTACGTATAGTCGTATTAAAATTCATTATGTTTATTTGTGCGTTGCGGTTGGTTTGTCTGCGATGTGCTTATTAACGTTTTTTATTTCTTTGCTTTTTCTTATAATTAATGAAGAACATCTCGAGTACCTCTAAGTGGGTATGGACCACTACTAACGACGCCTGTACGTAGAGCGCCTGCGTTTATCATTGAACGGCGCCGGCGTCAAGACGCACGTGATGTAATTACATTTTATCCCGAAAATTTCTTTATACCTAAATGACGTCTTAAAACACCTTTCTTTTTACCTATTCATTTTTAATTTGTACTTTTCTCAGACTGTGCAAATACTCAGAATAATTTCGGACGCCTTAATGGGCCGTTGGCGGTTTCAGCGTTTGTGGACGTATTACGTATGTACGTCTAAATGTGTGGGTAACCGTTTCCGTATGCAAAGTGGGAAAATCTATTTTCGCACCCTGAATAAATCGGCTGATGTATTTTTGTGATGCAAATACGATTACTTACAGGCAATTACAATGTGGCATTTCAATCCTGATTTCCTTCACCCTCTTCTTTATGAAGGGAAGAAAAAGAGGCGGAAAGGATCGAGATTAAACGAAGACCAGAGCATCGACATACCATAAAACTGAAAAAAAGAAGTTGTTAATCGCTAAAATGAATGTAAATATTTGCGGAAAGTGTACAATTACCACCTATTCCATAATAAGTGTCATCAAACTTTAATAGTGTAATGAGGGCGGTTCAGCTGGGGAAATGGTGGTTAATATATAATAAACTTAGTTTTCTCGCAAAATAATAATCATTTATTAATCAAAAAATGATGGCGAATCGTAGAAACGCATCTCTTGTATAAACCGATGTATGTACTTACAGAACCATACCAATCGCTGATTCCACCAATAGATTTGCATATTTAATGTGAAGTTAGTAATAACTATTAAGTCGTAAACATGCAAAAATATGCAAACCTTCCTGATGCTTTAGAAAAAAAAACGAATTGCAATTCCCCCATTTATCCGACTTTAAACCCTCGACAACGATCATAAAACGTAAACCTTCACAGCCCCTAATGGAACAGCGTTGGCTGGGCATAATCGGAGGACTCGTTCAAGGAATTGCCGAAATCGTGATATCAGTTGAAAACTGTATAACCATAAAGTGAAATTTTGTTGGTAATGGAGATGTAATTTGACGTAAAGGCCCCACAAAATATTTGTTTCATAATTTGATGTACGTATTGAAAGAATGGTCAACGCCACACAATTATACGCATTGAATACGAATGTCTTTATCCAATGATTATACTCAAAAGTTGGTCCATACTTCGCCGTAGTTTTATTCATCTCGTTTATGGTAAATTTTAATTAAAATGGTATTACCATACACCACAAAGGAATAATCAGAAATACGTGTCACCTTTGTGCATGAAAATGTGAAAACTGTTAACTTCCGATGCTCCGTTATTTATGCACCAAGATTGAATCATTTTCAGTGACTATATATAAATTAGTCGCTCTTTGAAATTTTTGTTTACATGGAAAATCGTATTTAACTTGAACTTCCAAAGCCGACTCGACAGCAACTCATTTTTGATCGCCAGTTATAATCTATTCTAAACTCTTGTCGAACCTTTTCAAATGTTGGTTTTGCAATATTTCGACATTCTTGAATTATTCTCTGTCTTAGTTCGTCTATGTTCGCCGGTTGCGTTTTAAATACGACAGATTTCAAATGTATCATATTAGTTTATTTTTTGATTTGCACGATAATTACTAACCTAAATGTAATGCTATTTGGTATGGTTGGAAACCATTTTTTCAGAGCTTTCCAACGACGTATCACACATGGGGGGTCACTATTTAAGATTTAAAAGTTGGGGTGGCCGGGGCGCAGGGGGTTGGAGGGGGTGCGTCGCCAACTATCTCATTGTGATTCCCCCTCCGAATTACCGAAACGGATTTTGATTTTTTTTAATATCTCGTTGATTTACTAAGATATGGAGGATCCTTCGATATTTCGTTGTATCGGTTTATCGTTTATCCTAAATAAGTACCTACTTCCCCTCACAGATATTCGTTTCCAGGTCTACTCGAAATACCCCCAGGAATCGTCTCTCCCCAAGTATCACTGCAACGCTCACCATTTAAAATGTTAACCCTAGTGTTAACCTCCCATTAACCCTAGTATTAACCTCTCTTAAGAACAATTAATCAAAAAGAGAATTTTCTCCCTTTAGTGTTGTTTAAATATTTTTAAATTGCAAGCAACAACATATTCGATAGAAAACTGACAAATTAAAAATAAATTGGGGGTGCAATAATAATATTGGACTTTACCTATTATAATTGAAGTGCCTACTGCCTATTAGAGACAGGAATTATTAAAAATCTCATTCCAAGAGACAACGAAGGCGCTTTTAGTATATAATTATAGCATGATGTTTAGTTCGGAAATTGTTTCTTAGTAAACATTTCACAATCAAAATTGTTTCCTTTCGCATCTTTTAGTCTTTCTAAAGTACTGTAATTTTCGGGTACTTGTGTAGCAAGTACTTCTTGGCCTTATACTGTATAGGTACTCATGGATTACAAACGCTAACATTTAGTGGATAATTTTATTGCTGAAATTATTGCAATTTGTGCATCAAACCAAAATATACTCTGTAATTAAACCAAGGAGATCAAACTGATCTTAAATTAAGAAACTTTTTACGTCATCTTTACTATCGCATTGCTTGATTTTAATTATTTGAAAAGAATTACACTGTGGAAATCATTTGTCATTGTCATTAGTCAGAACTTCAAATTGAGATATCGATATTTAAAAAATAGGCCCGGATGAAATTTACCTAGGGCAAAATTGGAAATAATTTCCTCCTAAATTATTTTTGTATGTTGGTGACCGTTTGAATCTTGGTTTGAATTTTCAAAGCATTAAAGCCGATATCTCGCCAAAAAGCATTATTCTAAAATTTTGTCTAATCTTAATACATTTTTACTACAAATGCGGCCTTAAATTTTGGATTAACATAAATAAGGATATGTAGGTATCCAGTTGTTTTCAAAATTTCCCTTTTAACTACCCTTAAATATTTGCAGCGTTTCGAGAAAATTACGATACTAAACCAAAGATTTGAACAGTTTAATAGGTAATAAGTACCTATTCAACTTGGAGTTACATCTAATTAGTACCTAATTTATGAATATACCTAATTAAAAATCTCACCTGTACTCAAGCTCTCTCTAGACAATCGAGGGCACGTCTAGATGCACACACTTGCGTATCATTCTAACAACTAACGTGAAATTGTAATATTACCTACAATAGATAACACAATTGAGGGTCAACCGGACTGGACCGTTTCGTAATGCTATTAATCATACCTGCAAATACTAAGGAGTAATGTTTGATTACCTATACTACAATTTTATAAACAAAATATTGTTTCCTATTCTGGCACTACCATTAAAAATTTAACGGGCGACAAAACTCCTTCATGATTTTGGACTTTCAGTCCGTCCGTCTGTGTACATGATAACTCACGAACGGTTTCGAATTTTCCAATTCTGTTTTCAGCCATAAGTAGAAAACGGAGCGCCCTAGAAAAAAATTTGCTACAACTTTAATTCTATAAACTTTCTTTAAAAAACACCGTTTTTAAGTTTTTGACCCCCCAAGATTGAATATGAGCGTGTAACTGTGTAAGAATATCATCCACCTGCGACTTGCTGTTCCTCAATTTTGGTATCGGGCTGTTTCGGAACTTGTATTTGCCAGGTGGGCCAAATGTCAGAAAAAAAAACTGAAAATCGATATCTCAACAAATAAAGTTGTGGGATTTTTTGTTGCGGTGATGTTGGCATTTTTTGGTCCCAAAGGGCACCACGCAGACAATTTAACTTTTGGATTCTACGCAGCCGATTTATTAAAGAAGTTTTTGTCAATTTCGAATATTTGCATTTTCTCAATATAAGGCATTTCACGGAAAAAGTGAAAGTTTTTATAATACGTGGAAATTATATTTTATAGTAAATACGGTGCGTAGAATCCAAAAATTACCACACATTTTTCGTCGAGCCCTTAGGCCCTATCTTGTCGGATACAAAGAACTCGATAACTTCCATAAAACAGTCCCCCAAAACCCCAAAACGTTTACAGTCTTCTGTGATTTCATGAACATTCTTTAGCACGAGCTATCAATTCTTTGTATACCGGGTGAATATCCCCAAACCGAACATAGGGAATTAACATGGGAAAAAGGTTTTATGTAGTATATTACTCCCCATGTTAACTTAGAGGGTTTATAAAAACACCAATCGAAAGAAGATTTTTTTCCTTGTCTAACGATATTCGAAATAGTTTATTTTCAGGTGTATTTCTCATTATTTTATCAAAGATTCGGCAATAAATCAAATTAGCAAAATCATGTTAAGCCATGGAAATTTCCTTGATCGAGAGTTGAAAAACACTTTCTTCTCAAGTTTTACACATAATTTTTTCTGAATCTACAATGAAAAAATGTTCCAAAACCCACTCGTGGGTATTGCCGCGTAACACAAAGTACTGAAACGATGCATCGTCATCGAAAGCACACAAAATGTCGAATCTGCATATTGAAGTACGTCCACGTCCAGAGAAAGAGAGGAGTTAAATAAGTAAAATAAAGTTTCAAAGAAATATTACCATACATAAGAAAGTTGGCTATGAGCAGTCTGTGCAGTCACTGCGCATGCCCACACAATTTTTACTATGTGCGAAATGTTTACCTTTACTAGAAGCGCCTGTGGTTAAAATTTCAAAGAAATATCTCCATAAATAAGAAATTTGGCATTGCGCAGTATGCCCACACATCACTGCGCATGCCCACACATAATTTTTACTATGTGCGAAATCTATGCCTTTACTAGAATAGCCTATGGTTAAAATTTCAAAGCAATATCTCCATAAATAAGAATATAGCCATTGCGCAGTCACTGCGCATGCCCACATAATTTTTACTATGTGCGAAATGTTTGCCTTTACTAGAAGCCTCTGTGGTTAAAATTTCAAAGAAATCTCCATAAATACGAAAGTTAGCATTGCGCAGTCACTGCGCATGCCCACACAATTTTTACTATGTGCGAAATGTTTACCTTTACTAGAAGCATCTGTGGTTAAAATTTCAAAGAAATACCTCCATAGATATGAAAGTTGGCATTGCGCAGTCTGCGCAAAATATGGAGTTAAATGAAACTGATCGAATTGGGCAAATATAGACCATAACAGCTATCAATTAGCGAAAACCCGAAGTCTCTAGGTGGCCCAGGGGCCGAGATCTCGATGGAACGGACGGACGGACGGGAACACGAGCACATAAGCTTTACCTCAACTTCGTTGTGTTACGCTAAAAAATTATCGTACGGAATAATGAAGTTTAACACACAGCAATCTAGATGTCATTATTAAGATTAACGCAGCAATTGTTTTTTACTTTCTTAACAAGAAAAGAAAATCACATTTTCTTTACCCTTTTTAGAGACGAAAGGTGTTGTTCCTAAAAGTGTTTCAGAAAACAATTATTTCTCAGTTGCATTTTCCCAAGAAATTTTATTTTCTGCAATTTCCCTTCTCTCACAAAAATTTTGAAAATACCCTAATCAAATGAATTATAAAGTAGAAATAAAAGCCTGATGGAAGCCGACCTCTCTCATTACAGTTTACAGACCTCTTTAGCTCCCATTAGATTCAATCGATGAATATTGGTAGTTGCTCGCGGAGGGCTGCACTCTGGCAGAACTTGTTCTTGGATAAAGACATTATTTCAATATGCTAAGACGAGAACATGCACGAGTTAGGCCCTGACGATACATAATCGCCACACTCTGCTACCATCTGCAACCACCTTTGCGTGGAAATGTGAAAAATGCCGTGTTCAGAAAAATTTGTGAACAAAAATTGAATTAAAACTCTAATGAAATTAAGCAAAGCGGTGACATTGCATTTAATATAGTACGAATTTCATGCAATTCGGTCTAGAAATGGTCCAAATGCAAAAAGGGCACCGTGAATGGTGAATCGATTAGACAACGATCATCGATGGAAGCGATCGATCGGAAGAAAGCATAAACGTCTCGCTTAACAACTACAAAATTAAAATGGGGTAAATTACTATACGTGGGACTTAATAAAAGTTATTTTAGTCATGCGATAGAAAACTGTAAAATCTCTCCAAAAGCGCTGTCTTTTATGGTTGCTGCAAAAAACCACCAAAAATTGAACACATTTGCTATGTTTGAATTTTTGAATTTTGGTATTCTCCAATTATAGCTATTTTTAACGTGGAGATGAACTTCTCCATGTATGCTGCTACAAACGCCAGCACTTTAAAATGTAAAATTGAAGTAAACATTTAATTCCTTCCTGTTTCAAAGAAAAGAAATATTTAAAAAAAAAGCGTTTTTGTTAAACAGAAGTGGTGCTTTTTGTTTTAGTTTTATATAATTTTTAAGTTTATCGAGTCATATTTTTTGACCGAACTTTTTTTTCTGTTAAATTCTGCTCAACTTTTATGCATTTTAAGCTGGTCAGATAAAGGATTCGCTCAAGAAATGTTTGTTTTTCTAAAAAAAAAGAATTAAATGCAAACTTTAAACTAATGATGATAGTAATTTAAATTAATTTAATTTCAACCATTTCGTTTTATTGACTGGATTTTAACCCTATTTTGATGCTACAATGGCACCTTTTATTTGCAGATAACACATTAAAAAAGCTTTCCAACTGTAATACCACATCAATTACCTCGCCTTCTCTTACCCCGAACTTGAAATTGGCGAGTTTCAAACACCTAGTAGTCCATTCTCTATTGCATTATTATTCTTGTTTTTCCATAACGAAATTTAAAATGATTGTTTATATCTCTATTACCCAGACTTTTGTATACAAAAGCATATCCCATTTTTTAAGTAAAATAATGCCGCATATGGTTCCTTGGTATTGTTTAGGCTAGAATAAGTGAAAGAAGCCCCTTCGTAATTTTTATGGTGTTATTTCAATTACAAATACTAAACAATATTAGGTACAGGCATTGTTTAAATACTTAAACAATGGTACCTACAGGCCTTGAATTTTTTATGGCTATAAGGTCTGAAAGAACATTCGTTTTTCCCTCATCTTCATTTGTGCATCAAATTATGGTAGAAACTAGAAAACTAAAGAGGCTAGTGAGATTAAATGTATTAAAGAGACTGAAAAGACCAGATGCCAAAGAAACTACAATAGGTAAACAGACTAGTAGAACTAGTAAAGTAAAGTAAAGTAAGTAAAGTAAACTACCAAGATTATGTTACTGTATATGGTAGTAGGAAAACTAGAGATGGTAGATAGACTGCAGGAGCTAGAGGGACTAGGAAAACCCCAATAAGTCCTAAGAGATATGGTTATGGGAAATCATAAAATTTTGGTCGCCCTTCTCTCACATAAGTTTACGTAAGTTCATTATTTTTGCAAAAAATAAAAATATACCAAGAATAGCCGTTTGATGAATAACTTCATCGGCAGGATACACATACGACATTGTATTAGGTAAACCGTAAACAGATTAATGCTAAGAGATTCTCATACAATTTGGGGTAGTGGAGAGGCCAGCTCTAATGGTAGAATGTTTATATGAATGATATATTTTAAAAAATCCCCACATTAGTTAGCAGTAACATTCATACGAGTCGCATCATATCTGAAAAGGAACATAATGCAACGAAAGTAAATGTTCTACACATTATAAGTAACAACTCTCTTTTTTCCAAAATATATTTAATATCGATTAGATTGTTAAACAAAAAATGTCGGTGAGAGAATCATACACCACAAAAGATTAATCTCAAGCAACAATTAACAAACGTATAAAAATGTAAACTTGTGAGTATCATGACGACAAAAATTAGTTCGGTGAAAAACTCATCTGACATGCAAAGCGCACAAATAACTGGATTCTTCCGGCATAATCGCTTAATAGTGTTCGGAGTATGGCGAATGTTTGATGCCAAAGGAGTGTGCAGGTGGATAGTCGATGGTAACCTGAAATTAATTCGAGTCACGTTTAACCATTGAAGATCAATTTGCTACCATGTTAGTGGTTAGACAGAAAGAAGTGCCCAGTTTCTTCCTTTATCTGCGACCGCTTCCTACTGATGTTAATAGGTTAGAATAGAAGAGCGGTTTTGTCTTTTCGCAAGCAGAGGGATTCGGATCCCAAGTAGAGTGAGTGCTTTATACCGAAGGAGTGACGAGGGGCGTCTCTTAAATGTATTGTTACCTAAGGGAAGGTGTTAGCTGGTTTGCTGGTTAGTGGTGGAGGTACCTTTTCGGGGAAGTAAACGCCGGGTCCTGGTATTTTGGTGGCATCCGATGGTAGCTGAGTGCGAGCTGCCATGCTGTAGCAAGGCGAATGGTCCTTGTACGCTTCTGGATTAACGTTGTTGTAAGATCCGGGGCCTGGATTCTTAACACGCTCGTCCATCGGCTGTTTGTGGCGCCCTGATATAGTGTAGGATGGTGATGATTTCTTGTCGCCAATCACACCGCCAATTTTGTAAACATTTGGAGCTGAAAATAGCAATTGGTAAGGAGGCGAAAGTGCGATGGGTGATTGGTCGGTAAGTACTGCCACCTGTTACTTAAAAGTGTAAGTAGTCAACAAACCAGGAGTTTCTAGTGGCTTATCCATTTCAATTTTCTGCCCAAATGAATACCGTGGTGAATTTTCCAAGTCATGGATGCTGTAGACATTTGGTGCTATGGAGATAATATATTAATATTGTAGTAGTAATAGTGCTAAAACCATAAACGTCTTTGAGCAAAATGGATGAACCACAGCATTTTAGCAAACAAAACTGAAATTATTTTCAAAATCTCTTGAACTAACCAGGTGTGTCCGATGGTTTCTCCAGACTCAATTTAGCCCCAATTGTATAGCTAGGCGTGTCGTCGAGTAAAGTGGGATTATAAACGTTAGGTGCTTAAATTAAATATGGTGTAATTATCCATTCAAAGTGCTAGGTATACAAACCAGGGGTGTCGCTGGGCTTTTGAGGTTGGGCTTTAGAGCCAAATGTGTACCTAGGCGAGCTTTCATGCAAATTCTTTTCGAACTCGTGAATATTGTAAGCGTTCGGTGCTGTGAATTATTAAATAATTAATCTAGTTACACACAAAGTACTAACCGGGAGTTTCTGACGGTGTCTCCATGCCAAGTTTCGCTCCAAATGAATAACTGGGCATGTGATCGATCGAGTTAGGATTATAAACGTTAGGTGCTTAAATTAAAACAGAATTAAATTGGGCGACAATTATAAATGTTACAGACCAGGTGTGTCACTCGGTTTTTGGATTGGGGTGTTACAACCAAACGTATACCTTGGCGAGCTCTCATGCACATTCTTTTCACATTCGGAAGTATTATAAGCATTAGGGGCTGTGAATTAGTAAAAATCTAATACATTAATTTTTATTCCTAAGATACTAACCAGGAGTTTCAAATATCTTCTCCAAGTTTAATCGCGCCCCAAACGTATAGCTGAACGTGTTATCGATCAAATTAGGATTATAGATGTTAGGTGCTTAAAAATTAAAATTCAATCACACTAATTACTACACATTCTACACAAACCAGGCGTGTCGCTAGATTTCTGAATCTGGGTGTTACTACCAAAGGTATACCGGGGCGAACTTTCCGGTTTGGAAACGTTATAGGCATTTGGTGCTGTGAATTAGTAACTAATTACTCGGTATTATGCCGCTACAATACGAACCGGGAGTTTCTAAGTGTTTCTCCATGCTTAGCTTTGTTCCAAACGTATAACTTGGAGTATGGTCATTTAAGTTAAGACTATATACATTAGGCGCTAAATTTAAAAAAAAAGTAAGTTAGTAGGGGATCACTACGTATTTCACACAAACCAGGTGTTTCGCTAGGCTTTTGAGACTGAGTTTTCAAGCCAAACGTGTACTTTGGCGAATCTTTATCGCCGTCCGGAACATCGTAAGCATTCGGTGCTGGGAATTGACAATTAAACTATTAATGTAAGTACTACAGAAGCTAGGTGTTGCGGTTACAACTCGCTTAATTGATAAATACATACCGGGTGTTTCGGAGAGCTTCTCATAGCTGGATTTTAATCCAAATGTGAAACTTGGAGTATGGTGAATGGAATTAGGATTGTAAACGTTAGGTGCTTAAATTAAAAACGGCGCAATTAAGATTATTAAGTGCTCTGTGCTGTCAATATAGGCTCGTCATCGAAAATCTCCGAGGAATATTGTAGACCAAGGAGTTATAAAGTCATTCTCCCGGACAGGGAGCGGTGGGTTCCTCAAACCTGACGGATTCGTTTACAAACGGATCTCTAACAGAAATCGGAACGGGCATGGGTACAGTGATATTCATTTAGAAGTAGACATAGGGATTTCCTATGTCCAGTTTTAAATGACAAAAACTGTTCTGAAGGACGCTTAATTGTATGCAACCAAAATAACTTCTTAAATCAAATGAAGATTTCGCTGTCATATTCATTAATTAGAATATTATTGCTTTGGTTTCCGTATTTTTATTTTCGTGTGCAATGTATTCAACTGAAGAAGAAGTTGATATTTTCAATTAAAACTGAATGTTTTAATTTTTATGGAAGAGAAATCCCATAAGAAACTTAAGGGAAATAGCGGCCGAATTTCTTATCTCTTCATCATAATCTAAAAGCCGTCGTTTTTTATTAAAATCTACCAGAATGACAATGCAAAATGCGTGCTCATGTTATTTCGGTTGCATGAAATTAGGCGCATTAGGAAGATCCCCGGTGTCCTTTTACGGGGCACTGAATGGTCAACTATCACCTGCATAACATTGGCCTTGTGGAGGAGCCCGCGTGCAGGTTCTGTGGCGAGGCAGATGAAACTGCCAGGCATGTGGTCTATCACTGCCAGAGGCATCAACTCCTTGGAGACTGGGGAGGGTGAAACAACTTAGGCTAAACAAGGCCCTATCCTTTATGGTGAGGAACGGGCCCTGAACTCAGTTACGAAAGAGAGCGGGTAGGCACAATAGGCGTTTGGTGTGCCTAAGTGCTGCCTAGCCGGGCTCCCCTGTGAATAGATAGGAGTCCAAAGAAATGAAATGAAAGTGTAAGTTAAAAGTAGCGTTTGAAGGCGAAGTAAAACGAAAAAAAGACCAATGATTGGAGACGTGAAGGAAGCCTGAAGAGGACAGATGTGCAGGAAAGTGGTCTGAATGACAAAGTCGGGGCCAGAGCTGGGAAGTAATTGAAGTTTTTAAATACGTATGTGTTGTATTTGTATTTGTTTCGTGGGAAGTGTTAGTATTGCCTAGGTCTGGTGGGGGATGAAGATGAATCAAGTTTTAAAGGAAGATACGTGGGAAAGGGGTAAGAAGAAAAGTTGTGAAAAGGACGAAAACGTGTATGTAGGAAATGTGCAAGAAGTGTGAAGGAGAAAGGTGTGAATAGATTTTGAAGGAAAATGAAGTACCTGGTGATATGAAAGAAATGTAAAGAAGGAGCAGCGAAAACGAAGTCTTCAAAGAAAATTAAAGAGATGCGCCAAGGACGTAAAGGAAGGTGAAGGAATTAAATGAGAGAAGAATAAATGGGAGGGGTATACATTAGGCGTAAAAAAGAAGCAGTGACGGAAGGAGAATTGAGGGAAGCATGACGTAGTCTCGTATGGTAAGCGTAAAGACCTGAAGTATGTACGGGACAGGTGCAAGGAAGATATTAAGAAAGCGAGGAGGTGCGAATATATGCAAAAGGTAGGAGGCGGAAGCGTGAGAGAGTGGAGAAGTAGGCAATAAAGGATAAGTTCTGAAGAAGCATGGGAGGAGAATGACGATAAGAAACGTGAAGGAATAAGATGCGAAGAAAGGGCGCCACGAAATAGGAAAAAGGTTTCAAAACAATGAGGCGTCAATGTACGAAAGAGAAAAAAAAGGCTTGAATGCAAGAGGCATGAAGATGTAGTAAAGAAACCTTCAAAAAGGCACAAGAGAGCGGCAAGAATATTCGACTGTGGTGTGAAAGAAACACACATGGATGAAGAGGCTTAAGTGGTAAAAAACATTAAGGTCGAGTTTCTCTGATTATGGTTTAGCAAAAAGTAATTACTTCAGATAAATCATTGCAAAACGTGTTAAACACTACAGTATCCCGAAGTCACTTTTTCGAAGAACGTATTTTAACAGCACTAACATAAAAGCATAAGCGCGATTAATCAAACTAAAATACCGATTAAAATGACAACTAACCAGGAGTTTCCAGCGGTTTCTCCCAGCCCAGCTTTGCCCCAAAAGTATAACTAGGCATATGGTCGATCGAATTGGGATTGTAGACATTGGGTGCTTAAATTTGATAATTTTAGATTAGATAATATTAACTTTAACACACACCAGGCGTGTCGCTGGGCTTTTGGGCTTGACCTTTGCATCCGAAGGAGTACCTAGGCGAACTTTCGTGTAAATTTTTTTCAGACTCCGGAATGTTGTACGCATTCGGTGCTGTAAATTAGTAAATGTTGTGCTAAGCTTTGGGCGAGAAATCATACGAACCGGGAGTGTCCAAAGGCTTCTCCAAGCCTAGTTTTGCACCAAATGAGAATTTAGGCGCTTGGCCGGATGCGTTGAGCGTGTAAACGTTAGGTGCTTAAAATTAAACAGAAAATGTGCAGATGACTAACTGTAACTGTGAATAGCGGTGAAATAATTTGAATTGATTGTAAATGTGAGCGTCTGACTCAGGTCGTGGCTTACCGGGAGTCTCTGATGGCTTTTCCAAGTTTGGTCTCGTTCCAAAGCTGTAGCTTGGCATGTGGTTGACTGCGTTAGGATTGTAAACATTGGGTGCTTAAAACGATCTGTTAAGTATAGTGCTATAATTGGGGATTAAAGACAAACCGGGTGTATCGAGAGGTTTTTCGATTGCAGTCTTAAGACCAAATGTGTATTTAGGTGAGTCGTGAGTTATCACTTTTTCCGTGCGGTAAACGTTCGGTGCTGTACAATTTGAAGGGGTGCTTTAAGTGCATACTGTGCGCCAAGTAACTCACCAGGTGTATCGACAATCTTGGTCACATTGGTTTTAAGCCCGAAGGTGTACTTTGGAGCGGTATCGTGGATCACACTCGAGGATTTGTCGGGATTGTAATCGCCGGGTGCGGGGAAGTTATCATTCTTCGTCTCTTTTGGGCGACTATGTAGGCTGGCAGCAGGAGGACTGTCCTTACCTACACATTGTTTCGAGTTGAAATTTGGGCGTCGCTAAATTTAACTATTACCTTTTGCGCTCAAACCGGTTATGTTGTACTGTCCAGGACCGGGTCCAGCACTATCCAGCTTGCCATTGTGACGGCTTCCAAAGCTGAAAGCGGGCGCCCGGCCCGTCTTTGATTCTGAAGGTTTTTTACCTACAATAAATCAATAGCAATATGCGTAAGGTGGGGTGGATTTACCCAAATAAGACGGAAGTGTCACACACGCAGGGCCTGGGCTGTTGTATTCAGCTGCAATAGCACCACGTCTCTTCGTCGGTGTCCATGGTCGTTGTTGAAAACCTCCCATTTTCCTTTTCGCACAAAAAACCAACACGTTTAATGCTAATCTGAGAATGAACGATTTGTGTAACGCAATCCCTTCGTACCAGATACCGCTTGGTAGATGCCTCCGATCACTCAAGATCGATCGTTGGAAACTCAAATGAAATCGCAATTTAAGGAACTGGCAAGTCAGTCGGTTTGTTAATACTAAATTCAGAAGTCTACAGTATTGGAGAGCATTGCAAAATCCCCCCATCATTTTGAGATCCAACAAGGAGGGGGACTACCTGTTGGGCTACATACTTGACTTACATAACACCAACACGCGAAATTAACAATTTCAATTTACCTAATTTTGTAATACATGGCCCTCCCAAATTTAGATCAATTCGGTTTTACATAAATCTGACACGGCTTGAAGGTCAAAGGCGCCGTTTTAAATGTACATTTAAAGTTTAGTCGCTTTTTAAATTGTACATATCCATATTGGGCAACGGGCACCTCCACACCAGTTGACCCCGAATGAGTCACCCTTTTTTTTCTTTCATCTAACGTAAGTGTAGATGACATCATTAATATCCAATAATGCATCCGAGCGATCATTATATAATTTAAAAACGCTATAATTAAATTAGAAGTAAATTGCTTAATTGGCCCATTCCAATTATTGATCAAACAGTTACAGTTGCTTTCAATTATTATCTGTCCCCGTCTCAGCAACAAGGAACACCTTTCGGTATTTGCAAACGTCCTTATTAAGCTAATAACTGTATTACCACCCTCGTTTAGCCTTCACCTAATTAAAACCATATCTATTCTCATTCTACCTACTCATATGCAAAAGGAAAGTTGCGCTCTTCTTGTTCTACTTTCTAGGAGGAAAGGCAAAGGTGCCATAATCTCATCTCCATAAGCCACTAAATAAATAAAAAATTTCCGGCATTCTTTTGCTTTATATGGTGATAATTCTATGGTTTGCTTCCTTTGCTTATTTGGAGTTGCATCTATCGTTCAAATGTTGCGTGTGCGAGTATTGTCAGAACGCGATGGGCCAAAATAACATTTTTCAGTTCAAACCCAACCAAATTTGGTTAATTAGTTAGTTAGTTTTACTGGAAATCATAGAACGAGAGCTGGTTATCTGACAATATTTATCCAGCATTCAAGAAGGCAAACAGGAAGCAACGCTTAATTCTTTCCTGTTATTCCATTTGAGGGAATAACGATGAAGTTTTAAATGGATCTTGAAGTTATAGAGGTACGAGCGGTAAAAGTAAAGCGTTGTGTTGCAAATTTTTATCCTTAACAAAATGGAAAAATATGAGTTTGTAACTTCTTTTTGAGAAAGGGAAACACATCCGTGCATAACTTAGTTGCATTTTGATTATAGGCTACGCAAACCATTCTATAATGGGATAGCTTCATGTTTCGTAATTTGTAAATGAACGATTCAAACCAATAACCATTTTAGATGCCTCTCCCATCACCAGGACCAGGCTGTTTCCCAAATTAAATCGCTTTCTTTTATGAGAAGAAAAAGAGAATGTTGCCAATTAAGAATAGAAAGGTAGAAGAATGGAGTTTTCTGTGACATTTTCAAAGGAGTGACCGAAAACGGTACTTTCGTACAAATTGAGCAAGTAAATCCGGTGTGTTTTCTCTATTGTTTACAACAACGTACGGAACTCGGAAGAGGTTAGAGGAGCTCCTTACCTAGTCGATACACCCCATTATGCGTAATTTTAACGCCGTTAGAATGAATATGCGCTTTCATAGAACTTGTTAAAAAATTCAAATGGTACTTCAGAATGTTTTCAAAGTCAGCTCTCGTTACTAAATGATGAAGATGGGGATGGGAGTTATTCTAGAGAGAGGGTTGCTCTCTCTTCATTGATACGAATAAATTTAAAAAAAGTTCATTACCTCTGCTACCATGACAACTTTCCCCGTAGTTCCCCTTCGAAAATTCGAAAATTTCTTCTGTAGACGGTTTCAAAGAGTCCCGAGAAGATTTCTAAAGATTTATTAAGGGATTTTGGAGAGGAAAAGGGGAACTACGGGGAAAGTTGTCATGGTAGCAGAGGTAATGAACTTTTTTAAAATACCTACTATTTCTTTAGGATGATTTTCCTAGGTTAATTCGTTTTTAGTACAACCCCACATGCGGACTTTTGAGATTAGACCTCTCTTATTATGGCGCTCAATAAAGTTTAAATCAAGGAGCAGAGGTAAATTATTAATGTATGCATAGAGTTGACCAGTCTAGCTGAGCTGCCCAATTCATTCGTGTAATGTAAAGATTTAGGGCCGGTCTTTATTTAGATTTTAGCTCCTATCCCCTCGGCAGTTTGAGAGGATGGATGAAACGGGCAGTACCTTTAAAAAATTTAAATGACACAGTCTGAGATACATAACTTTAGTCAAAGAATCTTGTTTCCAATTTTCCATGTTCTCTAAAAGGCGGATTTTGTCTTCGCAGTCAGCAGGAATTCAATATTACTCGCCGATCGAACAATGCTTGTTATATAACTCCTTTGCCAATTATAATTATTGAATATATAAAAATAAAGTGGGATGTATTAATTATAAGCCCAACACTCTAACACTAATAAGGATACAAGTGATATAACTAACGCCCCTAACCCCTTATGCAGTCCAGATCTTTCATGCGAAAAAAATTTGCAATTCAAGGATTTGTCTTCTACATGAGTCCAGCCGAGTATGCGCAAAGAACTACTGACTTTGACTTAATTTAGTGTGAATGGGTGTTGTAAATTGTGTTATTTTTAAAGTAAATAAGGAATTACTACTAGTAGCTGATACGTGATAATAACTCAAAGTAAGTACATTTCGGTTGATAAGTTTATCACCAGAGAGGTTAGCAGGTAATTAATTACTGCAGTGCAATTAGTAGGTAATAGAGCAACAAGTGTCCTGTAATTTCCTAAATTAATCATCTCCTTTATTGTAATTATTTTTTGTCATTATTTTTTTGTTATATCTTCTGGGACCTTATATAGGCTTTTTAAACTACATAATTAGCACCAGTCTGTTAGTATTTATTTCACCAATTGTTTATTAATAAAGGTCACCACCTGTAAAGATGAATCATATAAACATAACATACTCCCACTTCATTCCACAGCACTAATGTCCACTTGTATTGCGAGTTGCGTATCACTAGGATGGAATGTTACAAGATAATTTTCATTTGAGCTTCTACCAAAGAGTAACAACTATGGGTACCTACTCTTTGCTTCTACACCGACTTGACCCAGAGAGCCTCGCACCTGCACGCTAGCCCCTGGAAGCTAGTATATAACTACAATTCATTCTTGTCAACATGTGGATGGCTAAGTGCCTGTGAACTTTTTCTTCCAGGTCACACATAAGATAATAATTTTATTGCAACCCCCGTACCAATTCATGGCGAAGCTAAAAAGAACAGTTTTCCAGCCCAACATAAACCACTGGTCCATAAACCAAAAAGCGAGCCAAAAGGTTTATTGCACTTATGCGGGCCAGTGGAAGAACGCTTGTAGAATGACGAGGAGGGTATACCTCGGGGTATACTAACCTACCTCCCGAGGCCATGTATAAGTATTTAACAACTTTAGGGTTCGGCGACATCTAAGCGCCATCTCCGAGGGTGTTACACTAACGTGGTGATTTTTTTAAATATTTTATCAACAATTTTTTTATAATCGTTTTATCTTTCTGGATAATCTCATGCTTTAATAAGAGTGCAACCAAAGTAATGAATCCATCAGATCTTATCAAGTCAACGATATTTATGTTGTGGCAATGTGCCCTTACCGTTATTCTGATACTCTGATCAATTTCATTTGAGATCCATGTCCTTCAGTCCACTCTACAAAGCAATGATTAACTACAAATTGTTTTATTGTTGAATACAGGCACAAATTGAGGACCGACGGTACGCTGTCAACTCCCCCCCCCCACCACCCACCCACCTCACGTCAAAATTTTTTTGTATAATTTTGTGTGTAGGTTATACATATGGACTGTTTTGTTCAAATATTAGAAAGTATGGTCTTCAATCGACTGCCAGTTATATATATCGGCAATTTAAATTGGGGAGAGGTGGAAATCGGCAACGTTAATGTGTTTCATTATCTTTATGTACCTACTCGTCCCTCTCCTGATTAGGTTTTGATTTTTAAACTATGATTACTAAGGTATAAATGGCTGCAAAGACCCGGGAAGAATTTTTTCGCGCTTCTTGAACCATGTACTGGAAAGTACTATTGGTCTCCATTCTACATCTGTGTCATTACTTAAACTAATTAGTTTCCTAGCTCGCGCTATTGCGATCACGATTTTTTGGACATGTTAAAATTTCATCAATTGTCAACGTTTTAGATCATTTTAAGCAACTTTTAAAGAATAAATTTTTCCTGTCTGTATGTATGTGTAGTACACGAGGATTTTCTGAAGTAACGACTTCACGTATTTTGTACAAATTTTAGATACATTGAACTTCTTTGTTCAAATAGCAACGCAACATTTTTATTAAATTATTGGAAAGAGTTTGTTGCTGTGTCTGTTTTATTTTGTGTCAAAAGTTCTGGAGGTAGGTACAGCATTAGTATGCATTGGAATTGAAAATGTAATAGTTATTTAGATAAGTTAGGAAAATAACATTACTGGCGAGGAAATATTGAATAAATGAATAAATTCCGAGTCAGGTAATGTCATTTTACTGACGAGTTTTGTATTAAATTTTACCCGATATCGTATTTTAATATAACATTTCAATTTTCATATAGAACTTTTGATTAATGTCAATCTGTCAGTGATGACATGAGTCATTATAGTTAGAAATGTCATAAATGCGGCCGGTAAAGTGACGGTGCGGCTGGTAAAGTGACAGTGCGGCCAGCAAAGTGACAAGCGACAGGAAACATAGTCTGATCTGCTTCTGTCATGGAAACTACAATTTTCTGACAGAAAGTAGGCATGAAAATTTATCATCCGCTATATGGCTTCCGGTTCTCTTAAGAATTACGGTTTCGGTTGTGATTTCGATTCTGAAAAAACAAACGGTTCCTGTACGGTTTTCAGTCCGGTTCAGATCTCTGTTCAAAATAACATATTATTTTGGATTTTAATGAGGATATTTGTATGTTGGAAATCAAAGTTTAGTTGCCAATTTCTCCGTTTAACACACAGATCCCCGCCCCCGTAAAGTTGCGCGCGAAAAATGGTTGGCTAGAAAAATAAACTAATGTAGTACCTGGCGCTAAATTCAATGTAGGTACCCACCCCATTCTATCAAAACTCATTTCCATTGTACTACAGTTTCGAGAAATGACAGCCAGTTTCACAAGAGCACCATACAAATTTTGACTAAACCCCCAAACTATTAATTCAAGTTTTTCAGAATTCAATGTACCAAAACTCGTTTTCATTCTACGCTGGCTGTTCTTGAAACATCCGGTTCCGAGAAATTATGGTCAGCCCTTCACGCGGCGCGATTCAGAAGCGTCGCCACGAAAGGCAAGACATGTTTGTTGCGTGGAAACAACATTGACAACAATTGGAATTTTCATTATTAAAATAAATAAATTTCTTCTGATATTTCTCTATTAAAAATCCAACTGGTTAATTGTTATTGAAATAACAAAAAAAACAGTGGTTTTTAAGATATATGGGCCAATAATATAAGTAAAAATATTCAGGTTCCTCAAAAAAATTCCAAATTTGCTTTTTTGAAATCTATTCTCGCTTCCTCAATGATAAATTCTTGTATTTTACAGAAAATGGGCAACTACGAACTGCAAAGAACAGATAGCATTTGTACACCGCCAGAGGTGCAACTCTTAGAATATGTTAAAGCGAATAACAGCGCGAAAATCCAGAGCTTTGTCATTGAAAATCCTAATTCTGTTAACGTAGTTATCGGCCACCCCTACGACAAACCGATCCTTTACATTGCATGCTATGAATTGGCTAACCAGATTAGACCCGAAACTATCGAAATGCTGGTCAAACTCGGAGCGCCACTACACCACACTGACGAGGTACACAATCATATGCAGGCAGTTCATTTTGCGACTTTGGGAGGCAATCCAAAAGCACTAGAGGTAATATTGCGCCATTTGAAACCGGGCGATATCAATTCGTTAACTTCCAACAACAATTCTGCTCTGAATTTAGTAGTAAAAGAAGGGGATTTTGCAAATGCGCACAACGGCCTAGTCGAATGCGTGCGGATGTTGGTACTCGGTGGAATAAATGTGAATACTCCAGACGCCAAAAACCTGTCGCCAATTTTTTGGGCAGTGAAAAAGGGGTACACGGATGTTGCGCGTGTTATACTCTACGAAAGCGGACAAAGTGTTGACATTGACAGTCACAAACTCAGAGGAAAATCGGCAAGAGATTATATGAAGGAGATGAAAATGAGTGACGCTTTTACTACTCCCAATAACAACGAAACTGGAACTGTGCACGATCACCTTTTCCAATTACTGAAGCAAGGTGACGAAGATGCCTTTGTCAGCAACGAATACGCACCGCACGCTGTTAATGCGGAGGATGGAACGCAAACTCTTCTTCAGTTGGCCACCAAAAAAGGTTTACTACTTGCTGTAACATTCTTACTCGATCATGGAGCTGACCCCAACAAGACAGCAAAACAATCACCATCACCACCAATCCAAATAGCAGCGCTTAACGGCTATCATAAGGTATTTAACGTGCTGATGAATCGCGCAAACACAATAATCCCAAAGAGCACTCTCATGGACTTACTTAAGCATGTAGATAATGAAGCAATTACAGATGAAATTAACCACAATTTGTGCTATGAGCTACTTCTAAAGAGCAAAGCGAAGAGTATTGATGTTAATGAGGGTGATAAAACAGACAACACGGCTTTACACTATGCAGCTCGATATGGCGGTGCAAGCAGAACACTGGAGCTTCTGAGGAGTGGAGCCTCAATGGCCTGCACTAATAAATACGGTTCCCTTCCAATTGAAGACATCGACTGTAACACTTTGGAAACGCATTTGAATGAGTGTATGGAAATTAATCTCGATTCTAACATAGACAAAGAAAATTTCACTGCAACATTTAATTATAAAACGTTAATGCCACCACCCTTGCACGTTGCTGATAAGGGCAACTACGATACTGAAACCGCGTGCAAGCTGATAACTCCGGCGATCGCCCAGCTAAGCTCTGAAACCAAGGTGATTTCCTACATAAGCAAATCCCCCGAATTAAAACACCTCCTTATGCACCCTACCATTACCAGTTTCCTCTATATGAAATGGCACCGAATCCGCTGGTTCTTCTACACAAATCTCACCTTCTACATCTCATTCTGTCTCTCGCTCATCCTCTACATTCTTCTTGTATACGGAAACCAAAGCGACGATCAACACAACGTCCTCGCTTACATCCTATCCACATTTTTAGGCGTCACATTCGTACTCCTTCTACTTCGCGAGCTATTCCAAATATCAGTCTCGCCAAAAATGTACTTCCGCCAGCTCGAAAACTGGCTCGAACTGCTACTGCTGACGCTCACCGCCGTCATACTATTCGAACGATCGCCCCAGCAGGACGTACGCAAGCAAGTCGCCGCGATTACTGTACTCCTGGCCGCCTTTGAAATGGTCCTCCTGATCGGGCAGCATCCGAAAATGAGCACCAACATTGTCATGCTTCGCACCGTATCTGCGAACTTCTTCAAGTTTCTCCTGTGGTACTCCATTTTGATCATCGCGTTTTCGCTTAGCTTCTACATTTTGCTGAAAGACGGACCGCAGGAGGAAAAAAAGGATGGCGGCGACGAAGAGGTGGACTTTTTCGTCAGCCCGGGACTCTCCCTGTTTAAAACCATTGTAATGTTAACCGGAGAGTTTGACGCCGGTTCGATCAACTTTAATGTCTACCCCGTTACCAGTCACGTTATCTTTATGCTCTTTGTTTTTATGATCGCGATTATATTGTTTAATTTACTGAATGGGTTGGCCGTGAATGATACGCAGCTAATCAAAAGTAATGCGGAGTTAGTTGGTCATGTAGCACGTATTCAACATATTGCATATATCGAAAGTATGCTTCTGGGTAATGTTGCTCCAGCTGGTATTATGAACTGCTGTAAGAAATACTGTTGCTGCTGCTCGCTGGGCGTGACCAGCAAGTTTTTCGTTCCCAGGACGTTGAAGAGACGGGTGTGTTTGTTTCCGTACTTTCTAAACGATTACAAGTTGATGGTGTATCCTAACCAGTATGCAAAGATTGCACTTCCCACTGACGTATATTCCGATTCAGAGAGTGAAACGTGCTTCACACACTGCACAAGCATTTATCTTGATAGACAGACCGCTAAACGAATCAAGCATGTCATAAAAGATAGAAAGGAAGAAGTCGAGTCTGAAAAGTTGAGAAATTCAACAATTCAAATGCAGAACGATATTATAAGTGAACAGCAGAAGTGTATTCAAGAATTAAAGAGAGATCGACAACTAATTCTACGCAAACTTGATTACCTGATAGGTCAAATTGGGGTGCACCAATAACGTTTATTTTGTGCTGCCTGCGTGTCTTTTGAGAGAAAGAAACGGGACTCAAGGACACAATCCAGCTCAATCACTTTTAACGATTTATCACAAGCCATGCATAGCTCTAATTTTTTTTCGGTTAATTCTTCTAATACTGCATTTCTCTAAGGCGTTCTCATACCATTTCGATCTCCATTTTCAAAATGAACCCATACAAACTGTGATAGTTTTTAAGAGAAATGATTTCATTTATAATAACTTGACAGTAGGTACCTCTACTTTTCTTCATCAATACTGTAAAGCTTGGGTATACCTTACATAGTGTGGCTCGCATGCATGTAGGCAGAAACATAAAAACGCATATTAGTATATAAGACTGAATCAATCTATTACGTAAGTATATACCTACAATTAGAGGAATATTTTGTAAAATGGCGCAAGAAAGCTAGAATTTCTAAGTTATTTTCCATGTTTGCCAGAGTAGGTAGAACTAATCTGTGTCCACACTTCAAGCGACTATTGGCATAGTGCATTTAAACCTACATTGTTGGACATTTTATTATATAATTATTTTTTAAAATTGAGTAATAATAACATTGTGATTAATTGTGTTACCAATACCATACAGAATGTGTATTATTATGTAAAATGAATTAATAAAATTGTTGTTAACTATTTATATGATTATTTTTATTCTTTTGCCGACTACTGTTTCTAATATTGGTAGAAATTGATTAAAAAGAAGTCAACTTTACTATGGAGACGTGTGTAAGTGTAACAAAGTTTCCGAAATTTTGAATATTAAAGTATCGGAGTAAATTTATTACTTTGTCTGTACCCAATGAATAAAAGCTCCGCCAAATTAATAAAGTGTAGGAAGAAAAGTTTTCCATAAGAGTTTATTATCTTCCGATGTAGAATAACAATATTCAATAAAGAATATGAGGTTCCATATTTGAAAATAAACTTGACTCTTATGGGACAGTTATGTGAAAATGTGAGTCCCTTCATATGAAGAATATTTTATTATTAATATGTTATATAACTTGTGATAATTCGCTGATTCATAGTTTTATCTGATGATAAAAAAGAAGAAGAAACTAACAGTTTCACCATCAGTTTTAAGGTGTTCCGCGATTTTGCTTGTAAAGTTAATCAAAGTAATCTAAACAAAATATTTTAATGACAGTTGAAACTGAATTGAAATAGAATTAGTTGTATTTCCATTTTGATTTCTTAATTTTCCATATTTTCATTTAAAAATCGAGTTCAAAGACATTTTCTATGCATTTTCAAATCATCCCATAATAATAAGGTGGCATTAATGGTTATTTGCCAAAACTTTTCCTTTTCTGAGAAACAAATCCGTGAAAATCACTACACACGCGCGTATTTATTGTCCCGCTCGCTGCCCGGACCGAGTAAGATATGTACGCCAAACACGCTGATACACACATACGATTTATACGGGTCTTTATTTTTTTATATGGTTCATAAAAAAAGTACATACTGTATTGAGTAGCATTTTTATGACGAATACAACGATGTACGGCCCACAAAAAAAGTAAAAGGTGGAAGCCGTTTGTTTCAACAGGATGGTGCACCCACGCACAACGTCCTAATCTGGTGAGATTACCTATCAGAGACATTTACCATTTTCCAGGAACTTTGTTCACTTCTCGCACCCTTAGGGCGTTTTGCACGGGTGCACCATCCTGTTGAATCCCCAGAATGCCCAACTTTTGTTTCTATGTGCTTTTTTTTCAGGCCATATGATGATAATGATTTCTCCAAAACGAAACGTTGTATTGAAACTTTCTCAACGATGTCTTGTAGATCTCAAAAAGTGGCAATGAGAAAGAGTTTTTTTAATTTTTTTGTATTTGTTTCAGAAATAAATAAAAACCAAATCGGCTAAATTTCTGTTTTTCTGGCATATCTGCCGAAGTACATAATCCGAATTTTCTAGTTTTCTTTAAAGCATGATAATAATTAACTTGTCAATTGCGCAACTTTTTCCTAACTTAAATGGTTTTGGAGATGCCCATGAGACCTCCTTATCTTGGGCTCAGTATATACACAATAAAGGATAAATGGTATGAGAAAATTTTACATTCTTTAAGTGTCGAGTTGCAGAAAAACTTCAGAAGCAGATTTGTGGAGCGAGCAAATTCCTCATTACGCGTTAACGAAAAACTGCGTCTGATTCGTGGCTAATAAGTCACGGGGCACATACATTTAAATCATATAAAGTGGTGAAATTGTAACTAAAACTATCAATAGTTCAGTTCCATACGCCGCTTATTGTTTAGAAGTTACATTTCAACTTACCAGTAAACCAAAATATTAATGAGTTCTCCAGATTATTTTTTATGCGCCAAAAATATTATTATTATGCTATTAGGATAGTAACATGGTACCATAAAACAATAAAATTCAATAGGTAATGTGCGGGAGAAGGTACAAAAGTAAATCACTTGGAAAAACAATCATACGTCAAAAAGGAGAAAAGAAATGTGGCATACTGTGTAGGGAATATTCAGCAGGAAAACTTCTTTGAATCATAAAAAATCTATATTATCAAAAATAAAGCGATATAAATAAATACGACTATTAATTATCTTAACTAACCAGATATATTCATTCTTACATTCTTGAGACCTAACTTCTCGAATTGTCCGGAATAATACGAGTTGAAGTCCAATCTAAAACACAATTACATTATTTAGATTACGATCGAAATTTTACTTACAAGGGCGGGAAGGAGGGGACTCATTCAAGTAAGGAGGTCAGTATAGGGTAATGGTATATGAACATATCGCTCGTGGAGGAACTCAAACTTAAAATACTAAAAGGAAGATGGGAATAGGGCCAATTATGAAACTTACCGATACAGCAAGTTATACAACCGTTCGTGATCGCTAGTCTCCTTATTCAAACCGTTTATCTGCTCTAATAGCTCTTTGAGCGCTTCGGAAAATTCGAGATCGAGAGAGGCGATGCTTTCACGAAAGCTCTCCACCTTTTCGGTTTGCTGTTGGCCGTCGGTGATGTTTAAGCTGCCCTCGCCCTACAAGTTAATTAGCAATTAAATGGAGAAAATAAATGCGCGAGACGTTACGATCCGGAGAAAAAAAAAGCGTATTAAAAGAAAGAGTTCGCAAATTATAAAATACATGCGTAGCTTGCAGGAGTTACTCAGGGGACTTTTTTTTTAAAGTACCTGACAAAAAGAATCGACGAACGAACTTGGTAGAATATCTAGTTCGGCCTCCACAAAGTGCTGCTGTGTGCGCTATTATAATACAACTTTTTTTTATCATTTTAAGCTGGTAATATTTTAAGTTAACATTAGAAATAAGTAGAGGTTACTGTCATTAATTTACATTTAGTGGAAGTGTGTGTACGCTGCGTTTAAGGGGGCAGAAATTACTGCAAGAAATCCAATCAACATAATTCCTCTATTTATCTCCACTGTTAAAGTTGATAAAAAAATAAAACGCTCACTTACCTGCATAAATTTACAGAATTTCACACAAATTGCGAGTATATTTGTGATTGTGTTCAGCAGACTTGTAATTGTTAACATGCAGTCCTTCAGGCATGCGTCCAAGAAGTCGCAATGGCACGTGAGTACCTCGTCGACGTTGCTGACCTAAAATTAAGACGAGATAACGATTGCAATGTCGCAACACTTTTTCACCTTGGCTATTTTTTGCATAAATGCGCTCCAATGTGGCTCGATCACCTCGACCATCATGTGATATTCCAGATTTTGAATGCAATGCAGCATTCGCTGTCGCAAAGCGAAGGCGAGTCTGTATTGCTTGGCGGATAGAAACGGAAAGGACTTGGCCACTTTATTCGATCGCCAAACTTGGCAAATCATTCGTTCGACGTGCTTACAGTAAAACAAGTGCCTGAATATCATTTGGTAACAAGCTAGTGATCTACGATTTAAAATCAGCGACAAAGGCCACTTTACTTCGTAGCTGAAGGCGAAAGATTCAATCACAGTCAAATTAGTCTTCTTTTGCGCGGTCAGGAAGAGATCTAAAAAACCGACTTGGACTTAACTCGCTTTAGCGTCCAACTTACTCCTCTCCTCAATCGACAGGACAGTTTTGATCTTCACCATTTGATGTTGTAAATCATAAGGTAACAACTCCGTACACAAATCGTCTTTATATGGATCGTTATTGGAACTCGACAGCCTTAATGCTAAATCTAAGAGAGAGTCTAAACGTCCTTGGATAACATCGGCGACGTCCTTGTTCAATTCCTTTTCGCATAACGTTAAAAACGTAACGATAAAATCTCCTTGGTCTAACAGAAAGTAGTGCTTCACCGATTTTAAACGACCCAATAAGTCTTTCTCCTTTAGCACTAAGTCGAGTAGATTGATACTTGCGAATTTGTACGCTTTATCAATTGCGTCAATGTAATGCTTTTGTTCAATTTTATATTCTATTGATTCAACTTTATGGTTGACTGCTTTACCTGAAAAATTCATATTTAGAAGCATTCTAAATTGTAACTACTGCAAGTATCACGTTTTCAACCAATGAAATATGAAATTTTGAAACAAAATTTTGTAAGGAACAGAGACTTGATATAACAAGTCTCTGGTAAGGAAGATATACTCTTTGTGAGATATAATTTTACCAATTCAAAATATGAATTAATTAAATAAATTAATGTTAAACGAGATGACATGGGACGTTACATGGCATTTATGATGTGTTACTAGGAAATGTAAGACATGAAGAAGTATATTACTAGCATGTCAAAAGGCAGTGTACAAATTTTAGGCATTTGTCAACCATATAATGCTGTGGTTGTTCCAGAAAAAGGGTTGCCCAATTTAAATTGCACCCATTGCTTCAGTTGTGCCTTTTAAGCAAGCAGAACGGTGAATGAACTTTATATGAGCTGCATCAAAATGACGCAAAATTGATACAAGATTGCGATGCATGTATTTTTTATGCATGTTGGTTGGGTATATTTTAGGGAAAGTCATTTTTCTACTTAACCATGAATTGTGCGCTCTCTAGCGGCAAAGCTAGAAACCTGAAAATAATTTCCAGCGATTTCTCTTGACCTGTGCAATTAACGGTTCCATGGATATGGCCTGTGACCATTATTAATGGGAGACCCTGTACAGAAGCACCCGTTTTCGTATATGATTTCTACCAGAATTAATGAACACCTGGTACATAGAGGCACTGAAACTGACGCTTTGTTACGAGAAACTGTAGCTTCCGGACCCGTGTATTTCTTTTCTAGTAGTTGGAAACGTAAAAGAAATTTCTTTACCTTGACCAGAAGCATAAAAGTAATCTGGTGGCGCTCGAGATAAACCTACTGTTCCAACGAAACTACCGCACCCCCTGCCAACTACAGAGAATTTCAACTGAACTTCATAGAATTGTTATTGATTTATTTTTGTGAATCATAATTGATCTTTTGGATCAAACTAATTTCTTTTCCGTTTCATGCTATGCAACCGATTTAGGCGGACTAATGAAGTTCACTGCAAAACTTTATTTTGAGTTCGAAGGCAGTGCAGAAATCCCCAGTCAAGCCCCCATTCCAGCTGTTAATTTGCGCGTGGGTGGGTTTTTAAGAATAAATTATTTATATAGGAATATTCCAAATATAGCTTGGGTTGAAGTGCCTTTCATTTTGTTGTATAAGGGGTAACGATTTTGTCTATACGCTGATGTGTACGAACTATTTTTTTCTGGCGTTAATATATGATCTAGATCAGTGGTTCTCAAAGTGGGTGCCGCAGTACTCCATAAGGGTGCTGTGAAATACACAATTAAATTAAAATTACTGAAATTAAAAACAATTATGAAAAAAATAATGGTTTTTTATATCATTTCAAATCATGGAATTGCACTACTTCTCAATTTCCCACTCTTGTAGCTCCCACCTTCAATATCTACCACTCTGAAGTGCATATCGAGCGATAAGAAGAGAACGATTAAAGATTCTTGAGAATGAAATGAGGGTACATGGTATAATAATATCAAGGAAAATGCAAACACCAACAGGCGCAAGTTCACATTTTATTTCCAGCTTCTTTCATATTTTGTAATAACTTTTAAATGTTTTTATGTTGTTTAGAAATAAACTTACTTATTAAAAAAAGATACTTTTTCAAAGACTTCTCATTCTTCATTTCTTTAACTTTAACTGTACAAAAAAGCAACAAAATAATAATATGGGCGCCGCGAATTTTGTTTAATAATTTGAGTGTGCTACCAGACAAAAAAGTTTGAGAAACACTGATCGAGATAAAAAAAAATGACACTTCTCCACCGCAACTTTCAATGCTATTTAAAATAAAATTGTTAATTGTTTAATCCGATGTGACATTTCGTCTTTGTGGAACCATCAACTTAAATTTTTTTAATACGGCCCTGATATTCCGATATCATATTCTTATGGTGACTTTATACCATTAGATTAAGAATAGCCAATAGAAACAAAAGTTTATTGTGCGTCGCTAACCAATCATACCATACATTTGCTTCTATTGGCTATTTCTTAATGATATCCTAATGAGAATGATTGTATAAACCCACCCTTAAATCATTATTCAATGCTGTATAGCAGTTTTCCTATGACCTCCCTGAAACTGAGGTCAATGTATAATTTAGAGGCATGACATAGTACCCATTACCTACACCCGTGCGTAATGAAAAAAATTAGAATATATTGCATTTATTATAAGAAGGTAGTAGATGGCGCGCTGCTTTTGAAGATAACCGAAGAGACAGCTTGCTCTCTTCCTTTCTCTCTCACATGCAGTATCCGCGATTATCATTTTATGAAAGAAAGTCTGGTTTTTAGAGCTCATGCAGTCCTTAATGGTATGAAAGAAAATAATTTCTTGCGCTCTGCTATTTGTATTCGGCCATTTGGTACAAGCAAAGTATGTCTAAAAAGCTTAAAGCTTTTCCAATGGGAGTGAAAAGCCATTTTTTGTTGCTTGAGGCTTAGCCCTACATTCCAGTATTGTCAATAGTGACCAAAAAATACCAACCGCACTGCCGAATCACATTCAAATATTTTCCTGCTCGCAGAATAATGTCCGAAACTGGCTCCAAGAATGTGGGAATCCGTTCTCTTCGAATAGTATACTTTTTATCCCAATAATCAGCGGAGTAATCAACAGGCATTTCTTCTTTCTGAACCATTTCATTATCTTCAATCAAAAACTGCGAATCTCTCGATAAAAAACGCACGAAAATTACTAAGTACTTACTTCATTAATGGGATCTAAAATAATACCCTTATAAATCCACATTCCTAGCATATTCATGTATGGTACGCAGGCCGCCTGCATCAGATGCAAACACAACTGTTGCGCTTGAGTATCGCCAATGTAACCCGTAATATGATCATGCAGCAAACTTAGCACCTTTCCCCCTTTCGCATCTGACTACAAAGTACGTAATTAACCCATCAATTAACGCCTGCACTTACTTTACTGATCGAAGTCGCAATGTTACTCATAAAACTCATGTTGTGCAGATTTTTCTGGATATAAAACCACAGTTTGTGGAGATTTAAATTTCCCGAGCGAAATTCGGTTTCCATTTGTGTTACAAATAGCTATAAACAAAAGTAAGTATCGCATTGAAAATTAAAGAAAGCAGCACCGTGTAGTCGATAATTAACGAATTCATACTCTCTGCAAGTGCATTACAAACTTGTCCGAATTCGAAACGCATCTTCTCCTCTGTAAATCGTTGCACGGTTGAATAATGTGAAGCGAGTGGAAGTATTTGTTTTAGTAAATCTTTTAGGCTTGGATCAATGGCATCACATAGGCTAAACTCGCGGGTGGCATATTGGTCTTGTAGTTTAAGCGGATCTATGTAACAGCCGGGTAGGCCAATTAAAATATTTAGCAAGTCTTCGATGAGGATGTTCTCCTGGGAGATATCGGGGATGTTTTCCAACTGCATTCGACTGGTTGTTAACGTGATAGAAGAGAAATCCCAAGACATACTCGGTCTTCTCTGAACCCACGATGTTATCGATGAGGTTTTTGATAGTTGAAGATTGCGTTCTGACCAACTTTTATCCAGGTCACGTCCTTTGAAAAGCTTACTGGCACGTTTAACACGTGTTTTGACCTGTTCAATGGCACCTTTAGTAGACATCGTCTCTGTAGTCAGACTTTCGAACTGACTTCTAGCTTTCTTCATTTGTAACAAATCTTTCACACGCGAATCCTGCGAAATGTAGTTGAGTAGCTGGACATATTCGCCTAGAGAATCGACACTACAATGTGAAATTTAGTAAACTTACAATGTAGACCTAAACATACTTCCGTTCTTTGAGGTATTCAAGTTTTTCAAGAAAGAGCTGCGAGTTCGGAACAACCTGAGCTAAATTTTGGACAGCATTTTGAAATATAGTAGAAGAACATCCGTAAGTATTGCTTTCTGTCCTAAGGGGCATCCTTTGCACCAACTCCACAAAGCTATGTGCATCATCGTTTACTCTACAATTCGCCAATTAGATCTACAAAGTACAGAAATAAACAAATTACCCCGTTACGTTTAATAATTCCTTAACCAAATGGATTAGCTTAAATTCTGCCATTGAATTCAAATTTATTTTTAATTAACGATTTGTTGACATCAGTGCAACCACTTACGAAGGTAAAGGTCCACCAACTGCTGAATGTTGAAAACTACTAGAAATCTACCAATTTACATCTATTGCCAACTTAAAGAAAATGTTCTGAAAGCAAAACTGGAAATTGTAATGTGGATTTTCTTTTCATCCCAGCGCCCCTGCAATAGTGTACGCGGTCATTCCAGTATTTAAATACCAAGTAGAAAATGCAAATGACCATTTTAGGTACCTAAAACAGATCATCCGGAACGGAGGAGGATTCCCCTGAGCTGACGCCGGACCTGGTTTCTTTATTTTGAAATTATAAACGGGAATCCTTAGACCATGGGGAATCCCTAATTTTCAAAACCATCAACGAGGGAAATTCCGCGTTAGATATGACCCTAATCTTGACCCGATTAAGCTGATGCTATCACCTTTAAGTGCCTTTCACTTGACCCTTTCCCTAACCTCACTAGTCACTTTATTTAATTTTCTGTACAATAATTTAGTTCCTTACGTTCTTTGCTGCTTATTATTTACATCAAAACCAAAATGTATACAAGAACAGTGACAAAACTATCCAAACTGAGTACAAACGAAATAGAGCAATTCCTCAATTCGTTTGACACAGTTTTAACAGACTGCGATGGGGTGCTGTGGCTCGACAACAACGTCATCGACAAGGCCAACTTAGTTATGAACAAGTTGAGAGAACAGGGCAAACGAATTTTTTACATCACGAATAACTCGACAAAGTTACGTGATGAATTTCTCAAGAAAACTTCAAAATTAGGCTTTGACTGTGTCAAAGACGAAGTAATATCCGCATCATATTTAGTTGCAGACTACTTGAAGAATATCGGCTTCAATAAGAAGGCCTACATTGTCGGATCTACTGGAATTTCGCAGGAGTTGGATTTGGTGGGAATTAAGCATACGGGAGTTGGGGTGAGTTTTAAAAATCACGTCGAAAGGTATAAAGAGCTTTAATTTTCAGCCTGATGTACAAACATCCATTCCAGAATTGTTGCAAACGACTAAGCTCGATCCCGACGTCGGTGCGGTCATCGTGGGCTTTGACGAGCACATATCTTTCCCGAAGCTGTGCAAAGCAGGCAGTTACCTTAAGGATCCCAACTGCCTATTTATAGCCACAAATACTGACGAACAATTTCCCAGCAACACAGATTTTGTGGTACCCGGAACAGGTGTGGCTGTAAGAGCTGTACAGACATGTGCGGGTCGTGAACCATTTGTCCTTGGTAAACCGTATACATACATCTGCAATGCCTTGATTAAGGAATACGGCATTAATCCCAAACGTACACTCATGATCGGTGATAGGTGTAATACAGACATATTATTGGGAACACGGTGCGGTTTCCAAACGATGCTGGTGCTTACTGGTGTAACGACATTGAATGAGGTACTCCAGTGGAAGGAATCAGAAAATGTGGAGGAAAATGAATTGGTTCCCGATGTTTATCTGGACAAACTAGGCGATCTACTACAATATTTAAACTGATTTAGTTGTAATTTAATTAGTAAATGTACGGAATAATTGCTTTTCGATTTTTTGGAATGTTCGAGAAATTGTCTTTGTACCACCAATGTGTTAATAATGCAGTCTCCACCTGCAAAAAAACATTTTGTAGTGTAAATTTCTAATCTGTGGATAACTTTCACATGGGTGAAATTAACTCACCTGATTGGTTAAAACCCACGAAAAAATATAAAGCCAGGTGACATTCCCCCATAAAATAACCGTTAAAGCAATATACATTAATAATTCAGCTAGTATATGTGGCGAGGAGACATAGTCAAACCAGTCACCATGTGGAAGCCCATGTGCTTCGGTGACTACGTTCCCTTTCTTATTTTTCCTTAAATTCGCTAATATCACAGTCACATTGTACTGATGCTTCCATGCCCATAAGAACAGTACCACGGCGAAAGCATCTTTTAAACCTAAATCTTCCCAGTGCAAATCAGCACCTAAAGCTATAAGTGAATAAGCTAGTAAATATGCCCCAGGTTAAGAACTTTACCTACAAGTGTTGCGTACAAATTTCGATGTCTCCAACAAAATTGCAAGGATGCATCCTGAATAATGAAAATAACCGGCCAAGTACTGCGCAATGTTCATCCGTCCACTTTTTGAAAACACAGATACAAACAGTGTATCATAAAACCTTCGGCAACACTGCAATGTCAGCAAGCTCATTCCCACGAAGGCAGAAGTATTGCTTACTAAAATATTTTACTCGCATCAGTACATCAACTACGTAACTTACTGCTTGCCAGTCGAAAAGAGCCCCCAACAAGATCCAATACATCGTAAACGAAAACAGGAACTTCCACTTTGAATACAAAAACGGCAGATAAAAACACTAAAGTCGCAGTTGTTAACACGAAGGAATACACATAGAAATGCCTAAACCAAGCTTTGGGTACCTCAATAACTATAAAGAGAGGTCGACCTTTGTGAGAGAATTTGCCATACCGTAAGGCTTGACTAAATATCACCGGTATATACTTTTCAAATGTATTTACCAAACTTCCCAATAGTATCATACATGTCGTCAACAACGAGAACACAATTCTAACATAGTTTAGGTCCAACATCTTTCACTTAGACTGAGCAATGAGAAGTTTTCTGATGTGAAAGTAGGTAAAAATATGAATATTCTGTGCTGATGACCTACAATCACTTTCTCCCATCTATCTCATTTTTTTATTATTTGATATACTTTCCTATTGAACTTGGTATTTCAAAGGTCGTGTCCTTCGTATTATCATGTAGTATTACCTAAATAAACACACAATGAATAAACCATTTATTTTGCATTATACTTATTTCACATGCCTTGTGATGGGAGATAATATTTATAAACGAAACTGAAAAAATTCAAAAGGTATTTTTGAATTGAATGAGAAATGAGAGAACTAACTAGCTAAAAGAGATCATTTTTGAATTTTGAAAAAGTTTGTTCATTTGCGACATAACCTACAGCATAAGTTTGTTTGTTTTTATCGTTAGTGGTTCTGAAACCTCTCCCGGCTGTGTCTAAATAATACATCCAAAGGATCTGTAGAACCCATTTATATACAGTGTATGTATAAAGTAATTGAATATACAAATAGAACAAACGCAATTACGATTTCTAGTTATTAAGGATCCTCAGATCCTTTATAGTTTTGTGTTGTCGTCCGTCCGTCCGTCCGTCCGTCCGTCCGTGTGCGCTCTAACTCTTTTTAAAAGTGACCGACTGTGTTGAAATTTGGTGTATGGGTACTTTGGATTTTAAGGACGGACGCTATTGATTTTCAGTACGCTGGTTCAACAGGAACAAAAGTTATAGGGCTTCCAGTGAATCGGGAACAGGAAAAACTGCGGGCTCAATATAATAGAAATTAACATATTTCATTCCCTAGGTCATTTTAAAAGCTTTCTAACGCATTATCTTGATGCTGAAAGAGTGCATCACGTCGTGCACATTTGATAACCGCATATGTGAGATTCAAAGATGTTAAATGATCTTTCGGAGTCCACATGGATTTTGATCAAAATACGTCAAAATCGTTATTTATGCACCAAGATCGTTGGGAAAAAGACCAAGAGCATTATCTCATTGACCAAAACATGAATTTTGATCTATTTTTGGCAACCACATGGATTTTGATCAAAACATGTCAAAATCGTTTTTCTTGCACTGATATCGTTGGGAACAAGATTAAAAGCATTATCTCAATGACCAAGACATGAATTTGATGCATTTTTGTTAACTATAAAACGTATTTTGTAAGATTAAAATAAATTGTCGTTAAAAGTGATTGTAATACTGAGGATCCTTCGATATTTCGTTGTATCGGTTTATTTCTGTATGTTACTATAAAAAATGATAGGTTTTCAAAGTATCATTGGTAAACACCACTTTTTATACAGAATAACATTTTTTCACAAGTCAATATGCAACTGCATAAGGTTTTTTGTCATTGGGTTTTTATCAGACATATGTATCTTCGCTTCTTCGCATAATCCTAAGCATTTATTATGTTGAAATGTATACGAGTAAGGCGAGGCGAATGCTCTTTCCCTTCGGCACCCTAACTCCATTTCCTACACTTTGCTAATCCTATAATATAATAGCTCCGCGTTAGTAAAAACATCTAACTACGGGATAAGTGGGTTAGTGGGTATATAAACTACAGCGTTTATAAATTATAATTGACTGCTGTATTCTTTAGTTTCATGTTCAAACAGGTGATTTGTGTTTACGCGCGGAAAAAATGAATACTTAATTCATATGTTTGTATGATCAAACGCTCGAGCAAACTCCTCTTTTTACTTATTTTAATCATTTTAAATTTAATGAAATGCCGTACGTAGAGTTAAGAGCTTAAACATTTGAATATACTCGTATGATCGTAAAAAGGCATAAAATATCCTTTGTTGAGAGAGTTACGAATATGCACCCTGGTATGTCAGCAACCCGTCATACTCGATGTTGTGAAAATCTTGTTTTGGCTTTTTATGTATACAGATTGTTAATTAATACCATACAGATAATTTAGGGGATGATAGTACTCGTCAAAATGAAAAACAAATGCAAATATATGCATGGTACAAAGGGCGTCGTTTTCGTTGTACAGGGTGGGTAAAGAAGAGGTAACACCCTGTATACTGCGACTAACTATTTTGATACTCTATTGTACAGATTTTATAAAATTAAAATTGATGTAGCAAATTTGAAACAATTATCACAGAACATAAAAAATTGAACCTTTGCCACCCTGTATAACGAAAACGGGGCCCTTTAGACAATGCATATGCACTTTTTTCTTATTTTGACGAGTACTATCGCCCCCTGAAATATCTGCATGTCATTAATTAACACCCTGTATGTAGAACAAGAAAGCAAAACCCTGAAAGTCAGGAGAACATCAAATCGAGAAGGTTGACATAACTTGTCCCACTGAGTGATATCGTAGACGTAAAAGGATATGTTACCGAAAAAAGATTAATGCTACAAGCTACAACTTTCTAAATTGAGTCGAGCAGAAAAAGCCCTATTCCCAAAAAAATCATTTTGATCTCTTTGGAGTTACACTTTTGCACTCCTCAACCCAGATTAGTACCTGCACCATCCCTACAAAGTACAGAAACAAAATGATTGCCGCAGAAGGATTGAGCAATTGGCTGTAAAACCAGGTGGCAAAATTTTTTTCAGAACAGCTTCCTAGCTCACACCAGATACTAAAAAAAATGTTTTTGCCGGTCTTACATCCGTTACCCTAATATACAACGCCAAAATGTTAACGAAATCAAAATAACCGTTTTACCAAAAAAAAATATTTTAGTTTTTTTACTTTAATATTTTTTCGTATATCTAATATACATATTTCCAAAATTTGAACAAAATCCGCTTAGGTACCTCGGAAAATTGTCAACGTACGTACTATACGTACTACATACATAGACGGAAAAATTGTTTATCCTTTAAACGTTGCTCAAAATGGTCTACGTCGACATTTGATGAAATTTTGACATGTCCAAAAAACGGTGATCGGAAAAAGTGCCTAGGAAGCTAAAAATTACGTCCCAAAGTCAGACGTGGACAAGTTTTTATTTTTAATATTTTTCATTTGTTTATTTATTTACCCTATTTATTTGCAAGTTGTTAATATCACGTTTTGTTATTGAACGTAAGGGAACTTAACTAGGCTATCATGTGGCACACTGCTGATGGTCCTTGCAGACAGTTTGAGGACAGCGTTGCAGAAACATTTAAAACATTTTGCTTTGGAGGCAACATCATTATAATTTACTGTTTGAGAATTATGGAAATTCATTTTGTCGTAACAAACGCTAAAGCAGAAAGAATCGTAATTTTGAAACCCGTCTTTCGAGCTTTTACGATTGTTTTACAGTTTAGACTTTATACCATTAATAGGCGTTGTTGTTGGTTTCATGAATTAAGCTGTGTCCACTTTCTTTTTCGAGTATTCTGCCAGCTATTCCGAATTAGGCTTTCCTGCAGTTTTCCTAATTCGTAAGGTAAATACCGGAGTAGTATAGAACTACTTAAGACCTTCTGCAGAGGCACCTCTAAAAAGCATTATGCAGGTCACTCTGTAATTGGGCGCAAGCCTGTTGAGGGCCCAGAACAAGAGAGGGATAATAAATACAAATAATTAAATAAAATAATAAAGCAAGTTACTTAAATAACAGGAATATGTATCCATGTAAAAGGTCGCTTCAAGCGAGACCAACGAATAATAAGAAAATGTGCCAAACTCTTGATAGAACAGTACACCAACAATCAAGAATTTTAAAAATTGACATCACCCCTATAAGTATACGCCACATTCTCGTACACCAGACCTCCCGTGTCAAGCCCTTATCTATAAATCGCTACACTAACGAAAAAGGTAACAAATAAGATATTTGGATAATCATAAGAAAAAGAATATATTTTGGTAAAGAAATTTCCAAGTAGCATACAATTGTATAGGTTTTCTGTATCTCAAAACAGAGTTTTTAAACTTTTTGGACGCATTTTAGTTTATTAAGTATATAAATAATTATTTTTATATATTTTCATTTAAGGCCGCTACGAATATGCCGACAGGACGACCCTGTTTTTTTCGCAATTCGGTATATACCAGGGTATATACTCTATACCAATTAGGCGGTTTATAAATCGACAAGGCTTTCAAATTTAAAAAAGGTAATAATCTAGCTCTTTATTTGAAACGAAGTAAACATTCTAACGTAAAACTTTGGTACCTTACGTCGTCTGCATGGGGTTTTTATATTAAGCCCACCACTTTTGCTCCTATTGTGCTGAGGTACTCATTTAGCGATCGCCCTAATTGCACCGTTTTAGTAGTTGGAGTCTGGAACAAAGTTTAAAATCGTTAAGGTGGTGTTCTAAGTAGATATTCGCCAATTTCAAAAACCGTAGATTATGATCAAGATTATACAGGATGTCCAAGTTGCATCCTTAAAAAATTTTTCGTACTTCCGAGACTAAAGTGACCACTTCACTCCATTATGACAAGTACTGAAGTGTCACTTTTTGTCCCGCCGGGATTAAATTTTGACGAAAATCCCGGAAGGATGAAATTACTAACAAGGCAATTTCAGTAGGTTGTTCCACATTTTGTATGCGGCACTACTTCTTAAACGTATCGTACTGCTGCTCATATAGTTTTTTGGATTTCGGTGGTATCAATTCTTTACCTAGTTTGGCTGCTTTTTATGAATATCAAATACACTTTTGTCACTCACCACCAAAATTATGACACTAGCAATGACAGTTTCCAAATTATTTTTGTTACCACGGCATAGGAATTGTCGTACCAACGCAACGTTCCTATGGTACCTAACTTGTTAAGTAGCGATTTTTTGAAAGAACGCGTTCTCTAACTCCATACATATTAAGTGTTTCAGTTTCGGAAGTACGAAAAATATCGTATATACCTTGCGACTGAAGTAGTGTTTTTAATCCCTCAGGTAAATTATGGCCCTCCCTTCGGTCGGGCCATAAACTTTACCTTCGGGATTAAAAGTACTACTTCAGTCCCGCGGTATATAATATACTATAGTTGCCTGAAAAAGGCTCAAACAACTAAGGTTTGAGATCAAATTCTTATGACACAGATGAAAATTACTTTTCTAGGCATTTCTTATTGTTATCAACAGATTCCTGAGCTGACTAAAAAGAAAAACCGCTCAAATGCACCAAGTAAGCACCATGGATATCTACTTGAAACATGAATAGAATACATGATACCATAGTGTTTCTATTCTTACACTATGGTGATACGTACTCAGAAATAAAAGTAAAATACTTTCATGTACAGGTACTATTGATTGATAAAAACTCACATCAACTACCGCATTTATCACACGCGAAATCTTCTGGAAGCTTCCTGTAATCAGATTTCCAACCGGCTTAAACTGTTCTCCAGTGTTTCCGTATTTATCTGCTTCTGAAATGGTATCGACTATCGGCGTCGGTTTTATAATGTTACTCGCGATAACTTGCGCAGAATTGTACAGTGACGGTTTTTCAATCTCGAAGAAAGCTTCCTCTCTGCCAGGCAATCGTTCCGGAAGAAGACCTCTTTTGAAAACCTGAAAAAGGAAATGTTAGAAGTTGCTGTTCCAGTGTCATTAGGTACAACGAAAAAAGTAATTAATTCTTACGTCTTTATACGTTGTTAGGAATTATGGGTTGTAAACCTTGCAGGTACTGGACATGTTAGGATACAACTTAGGTAAAAGGAGCCTTGATAGTTTAAACCTTGCATTTTCAGGTACTTTATTTAAAAAACTAATTTTACCTTATGAGCGACAAACTCCGTTGGTAGCATATGTATTACATTAAAAAACATGGATGTCACAATCACTATTACACAATTCATTTTTACGCAGCTAATTTTTTTTTGTTCAATTACTGCCGCTACAAGAACATGTCGATAAATGAACCAACTTTCTCTAAAAATATGCAATTTCTATCTTTGACATTGATTGTCCACTTCCAAGTATAAAACAATTACGCAACCACCCATTGACCTGCTCCTAATTAATTTACGATCCTAACAAGCTCTTAGATAATTAGTATGACGAAATGGTTTCGGGGGTTTTCTTCTGCGAAACGAACGGATTTTTTAATAACCTCGAAACCGACTGTAAGACCCCTATTGGTATCTGCAAAAAAACGTGAATTTCGGTACGTTTCTGTGGAAGCAAACCTGAAAGATGTCGTCGATTATTCGTACAACGGCCGCACCGGGTCGATGGAAATGGTTCTCGTGAATTTCTGGAGCCGCCGTACTTTTTATTTCTATCACGATTTCATCCTCTTTCGCTTCTGGATTGACGCTGTTGCTTATTTCTGGCTCTTTGGGCTAAAAGAATACGTTGTAATTTTGAAAAGTGTAAGGCTATTACCTGGTCCTTTTGCGGTTTGCCCACGGCTAAAGTGAGGGAGAGTAACGAAATCAAAATTACCATAAACGTACGCATCTTCTTGCCTGAAAACGAAATGCATCAGTGCAATTGAATTGTTTGTTTTACTTACCGTTTATAAAATGTGAGAGAAAGGATTTATGCACACACAATGCATAAGAGTTCGTCGATCTTTAATTGCGGATCTGCGGGTCTATCCCCCACGTTTAAACTTTCTGTTTTATATTCCTACTCACCACGTATTACTGTAATAGCTACATGCTTGATATTTACATTTTATTGTAATTATGCACAAATTGCGAGAACTTCAGAGGTAACGTTGGGGTAACCGGCTGTATACATGTATAGATAAGGGAAAAGGAAAGTTGGGTTTTTACTAAATTTTGGGAAGCGGAATATATACGTAGAAGATTTTGTAATACATTTTCTCGTTCCGGAGACAAAGATGTGGATATATACAAATAATAAAATACAATTGGAACTGGATTATCCCATCAAGAGTTGATAAGGGCGTAAGATGTTATGTTACAATCAGTTTGCAAAGAAATTTTGGGCACAAGCGATGTTCTGTAAGTTTGGACAAAACCAAATGCTGATTTAAATCCTTTTGCAAATCATCAAAAAAGAGTGTAGCACAATTAATTCAAAAATATAAAAATTTTGACTCTATACGTTCAGTCGAACGGGAGTTACTTCACGATCACTATAATCCCAATGAGGATACGGTCCCTGCGCTTGCTTGAAAAGTTACCTAAATTCTGACTCTGACTACCTCTCCCTTATCGCAGGTTGGATGAAAAACAATACCCAATTTCATTTTTAGGTTTCCTTCATGCCACTCCATGCTAAACAAATTCCAGGAACGTAAGTATTTGAAGATTCCTCTATGACATTGAATAAAAAATTAAGTTTATTCAATGTCTACGGTGAGTAACTCTTTACAGAAAACACCTACACCTACTGAGTATATAAGCAGTTTACTCTAAATAATATTACTCACTCCACTTCATGCGTGTGAGTTCATCATACATCTCGGATTTCCATTTGGAACTTCTCCACGATTATCAACTCCAACACAGCTAGTTTAGTAATTCCATTGTAAACGATGGTAATGCCTAAAAAAAATTGTTGCATACATGTTTGTGTAATATTTGCAAAGATGGCACACGATAGTTGTTGTTTATATGGTAACGAATAAATAGTATGCGTTATAATATAGTTATTTATGTATTTAGGGCATAATAGTGATGTTTATATTCTCGAGGGCGACGAGTTAAAAAGCTCGAGAGAGCTTTTTAGTCGCCCGAGAGTATAAACATCAGTTTATGCCCGTGGTACATACACAATTTTATGTTTTACAAATAGTTTTCTTCGTCAAAATTCGTTAACAAAATAATTCATTATGGTTGATCGAGTATGGGTGGTTCGAATTTGTTAATGTGATTGAAACCATCCAAACGTCAAAACTTAAATAATTCAATTCATCGTGAATGAGCAAGAAGTTCCAGAAACTATACGAAATAAGGCCAATCTTGGGATTTAGTAGGTATTGACAATTAATAATTGACGTTTCTAATTTTCAATGACCTGCAAATATTTGTTTGTTTTGTCATTAAGTATAAATGAGTTACTATGGTGATACTTAATGCCCTAGGGCATAAAGTGGTACTTTATGCCCGCGTATCACAGATATAAAATGTGCTATGATAGGTTAGTAAGACATAAAAAATATTACATTGTCATTATTCATTGTACGTTATAAAATTAGTCTTTATATTATTAATACACGTTTGTAATTGAACCCAGTGTAGACGTGGTATTTGATTCAAATTTGGGTAGCTCTATAAAGAGGTTTGACGATAAATTTCTTTTAAAGGAAAACGTAGTACCGGTTTTTAAAAAAGCTCACGCGAAAAATTGAACAAATGCTGTCAGTGGGAGTTTAGAAACCAGAATGGACGTCTCCGATAGTGGTGGTACCGAAAAAAAATTGGGATGTTAGAATTTGTTCAGATTATCGCCTCACTGTTATCATTGAATAAAAAATTAATATTCAATGCGATGTAAACGTGTAGGTACCAATTGCAGAAACCTGATAATACTTAAATTAGTTTTGCTAGTTTGACAGAAGGAAAGGATTTTACTTTGTTAGATTTATCAGGAGCGTATTAGCAACTGAAAGTGCATCCAGTTTTTAACAATCAACACTCATATAGGGTTTTTTAAATTTAGAAGATTAACATATGAAATTTCATCAGCACCAGCATTTCAATACATAATGGATACTGGATTTCATTGATATTTGGATGACAACCTGGTAGTGGAAACATCAGTTGAACGAAGTAAAGTTTTTGTTAAATTAGTCTTCGAAAAAGTAAGTAATTAACTATAACATTATAAAGTAAATTTGGAAAAATGTAAATGTTTTTCTTCTGCAACTTATCTTGGACACAGGATTGATAGTATTGGTATACATCCAACAGATGAAAAACTGCAAGCTATCGCAAAAGCTCCTGTACCGCAAAATGTAAACCAATTAAGAGCTTATTTGGATCTGCTCAACTATTATGGAAAATTTATTCCTATCCGCTATACAGACTTTTAGAGAAAAATGTTAATTTTGACTTTAAAGATGAGTGTAGAAAAGTGTTCGAGTCAAACAATGTATGGTTCAGCCATAATCAAGTCCTCACTCATTATGATCCAAGTAAACCCATAATTATTTTTTGTGATGCTAGTTCTTAATCATTGAATAATAAATTGTTCTAATGGAGTAGATGGTGTACCTACTGAGGCATAGAGTGGATGGTCAGTAGAGACCAGTTTTACTTGTGCGTAATGCTGTTCAAACGGTAGCTAAATTGAAATATTAATTTGCTGTAATTGGTCTCCCAGGAATGACCGGGTCGGGAGTGATAACAGACCTCCATTCAACGCAAACGTTTTTATCAATTTTTGTAATTCCAATGGAATTCGAATAGGTATCTAAAACTACCCTATACCATTACGGTTTCGGTTGGATGTTGTCACTTCACTCAAGGAAACAAAGTGTATCCTACGTAAAAAAAAATCCTCTGAATTCGAAAATCATAGTCCCCGGGGTCGGAAACTCCCGTAACATATTGTTATAAACAAAAAACAAAACAAAAATGGGAAAATGTTTTTTTTGCGCATTTACTTCGAATACCTGGTTAACTATATTGCTAAAATGAATAGAAGTGAATTTGCTTAGAATCGAAATTTCTACAAGACACAGTTGGTCCGGAATATTCATTTTCAAACGTTAGTTTTTTTATGGAAAAATATAAAAAAGTAATCTCGAAAATTAACTTGTTATTAATAAATGAAATTCATCCGATCTATTTCAAAATTCGTATTTGATAGCAAACCAATATGCCAATATATACTTGGCTTCGTTTAGTGAAGTGACAACATCCAGTTCAGGCTACTTTTGTAGCTAATTTGACTGGACTATTTGGGTCAAAATAGAAACACAAAAATTTACATATTATTTGAAATGTTATTGGCAGGGTTTGGTTTTAATTACCCACTTCCACCTCTTTTGTATTTCTTATACTAAAAATAATCACACCTAATTGCACGATAATGAGCAATGGAATAATAATTTGCATTTTATTACACCATGTAAACTACCTGAGGCCCGCGGGCCCATATATGATTATTCTCAATTATTTTTGTCTATCAATTTGAGAAATGAAATTACCTACAGAAAACTTTTGACACACATTAAGAAAATATGCAAAATTGTTTCAAATTTTTCAAAATATAAACGCTCCCGGTAAATATTGATTATAAACAGAAATATAATTCTGCTTTCTCATTTTGCGATCGCAATGCCGACCAAAGTAGCCGTTATTGAGGTTGCGTTGTGTGTTGCTTACCGTATGTACCCAATAGCTTACCAAAAAAAGGTAAATGTGCATATGTTTTTTGAACTCAAGAAAAAACAAGTTGTAAATCAGCATATGCATGATTAAAGCGCATTTTTGGTCATGCAGGTCAGTATTTTATTAGCGAAGTTTAAAATTATCGATCTCACGAGTAATTTTGGCTGCGTTAAATAATTAATTTTATTTAATTTCAATTGAGGGTACGTCTTCATTTTGTAAAACAAATCACAAAGTAAATAATTAAGTTTTAAACTGGTAGCGCTATCTAACGGTAAAATTATAGCACCTCCGAAAATCATATCGAAATTATTTTCTTAAATTATCGATCTCACAAGTAATCGAACTCAAAATCGACTAGAGCCTGCACATCTACACTATAGCAGAAAGCTGTTAGTGAAAATTTGAACTCTCTAGCTATTGTAATTGCTGAGATCTTAGCCGGACAGCCGGCCGGCAAGCCATAACGAATATAATAGCGTATTTTTTTCAATTCAATCAATTTTATCAATTTTTTTCTATGGCCATTGATTTCGGAGTAAACTAATATTCCATTATCAGGCCTCACTAAAGTTCCTCTAATAAAATATATTGTATTCGTTGTTGTTAATAATTATGACCGTCAAATGATAATAATAAACGTTCCGTAATTAACATATGTTGAACTTTATAACTTTTTCTATGTGATGATATTACCTGTAATATATTTAATTATATTGAAGTATAATTAACCTGAGTATAGGTGTAATATTTTTAGGTTTCGTTAACACAACCTTGGCTATACAGGGTGTAGAAACGAAACGCACCATAGAGATTTCAATGCTAATTTCTTTATATCGAAATATTTTCTTCCTTGCAGAGCAAAGTTGTAAACACATTTTTTGTAGATTGTCAAATTCGTCTATTCATGTGCCTATTTGTAATTTTTATTGTGGGAAATCGGAGAAATGAAGGCAATTATAAACTACAATTATCATTGCCTCAATTCAAAACTTAGGCCCCGGCGCGATCTAGTTTCTCTCAAAAAAAATTCGAAAAACGGTCAAATTTTGAGCAAAAAGGTTACAACAGCGAAATCGTTAAAGTTAAGGGCATAATATGTTACATAAAAAAATTAGTACTTTTCAGGTACTTTACAAATCCCTAATAAAATATGCAGTGTTCTATTTAAATAAAACGCAAGTTTAATACTAATGTCCCGCGCCCTTATGTCCACGCGCCCTTATGTCCACGCGCCCTTTTGTCTCGCGCCCTTTCGGGGGCGGCCTAATGTCCGGTTCTGGTACTTCAAAGTGATTTACATAATTTAAACTTTCAACATGTACGTCATTGCGGAATAAACGGGCTTCATAACGAGCTTGCAAATTACCAAACATATTTACAAAGGGTGGCGGATAGGTACTGTATTATCAGGCCCGGATTTACGTCAGTTAAAATGCTAAAATGGGTTAGTATACGTATGTTAGTATGTAGTATGATCTATTGTATGTATACCTATGTTATTTTGGACTCTGGACATAACGTTTACTAAAGCTTTTGTGAACTGCCCTGTAGAAGATAGGAGCCCCATCCCTACCTCGTGCTTGGTGGCCCCGCGAGATGTAAATCCGGCTTTGTTTACTATCAATTACCATCAGTTCGTACCTAAACCTATACCGACCTTCGCGTTCGATGCATGTAAATTTGCAAAATTTAATTTAAAATTGAAGTGGGCAAAATATTCTTATCGAACTTTTTGAAATTTTGAACTGAATTTGCAATTTTCTTTCGGTAATGACACTTTTTGGTTAACAAAGGTTTAATGACGTTTGAAGCTTAATTTTACTGCGTTCAATACCTGGTATTTAACTATTTAACCCACCCCACCTTGTATCACAATAGCACTAATTAATGTTTGTACACTTTTGGCACTTATACGCATATGGTACGACACCCTATAAAAATACCTGCCACCCTGCCCGTTCATTCTCGTTACTGGTGTAGGTTCAGGCATATTTGAATTTTCTCCTTGAGGATTGCTTTTTAATATTTTATCAATGTTCTTGGATATTAAAAACTCAAACAGTTACCAAATACAAAGCAACATGTGTCAAATTTATATTGAAGAATCAGACTAACCAATTCCAACATTTTATGGACAAAGTTTCTAAATCCTTTGAATTGTTTTCCTCAAGATTTCAAGTTGGTTCTTTAGAGAAACAATCCAAATTTTTGGACAATATTATATTATTATTTTATTATATTTTATTTGAATTTGGATAATGTGACGATGAAAATAGGAAATATTGACGAAAACAATGCAAAAAATTTGTCCCTAAAAAGTTGGAATTTGGATTTCTTGTCGGCCCCACGAGTATCATCACGGTCATATAGATTTTATCTTTCTAGCCACAAAACTAACAAGTTAAAAAGTAATCGTAAACGATTTACATAAAGCGCATTTCCACTTGCATTCATTTCCCATTTGTAAGATGCAACTTCTATTAAAATCGTAAAAATCCGGCCACAAATATGAAAGATAGCGTTGCACATGGGCAATCCATTGTTGACGTGCTACTTCAATTTCAGTTTATGAGAAGAATTTCATTTCAATGCTTTTCTAAATAAGGAAGTTGGAACTGCGCATGCGCAAACCTAAATTTTAAAACTAATGTTAGATTTTCCTTTGTTCCAAGCGCCTAAGTATCAAATTTCACTTAAATGCTTCCATAGATAAAAAAAAAAGTTGGCACTGCGCATGCGCAAAATAAAATTTTGAAACTGGCGCTAGATTTTCCTTTATTCCAAGTGCCTATGTATCACATTTCATTTAAATTCTTCCATAAATAAAAATGTTGCCACTGCGCATGCGCAAAACCAAATTTTGAAACTGGCGTTTGATTTTCCTTTATTCCATGTGCTTATGTATCAAATTTCATTTAAATTCTTCCATAAATAAAACAGTTGGCATTGCGCATGCGCAAAACCAAATTTTGAAATTGGCGTTTGATTTTCCTTTATCCCAAGTGCCTATGTATCAAATTTCGTTTAAATTCTTCTATAAATAAAAAAGTTGCCACTGCGCATGCGCAAAACCAAATTTTGAAATTGGCGTTTGATTTTCCTTTATTCCAAGTGCCTATGTATCAAATTTCATTCAAATACTTTTATAAGTAAAAAGTTTGCAATTCGGTTTATAAATGGTCGAGATGCGAAAAGGGCACTGTGAATTTTGAATCGATTCGATTCAACTTTTGGCAATGCGTATTATATGGCTAAAGCTATGCCCATATTGAATTTCATGCAATTCAGTTCATAACTAACGGAGATGTAAAAGCGATCGAACATTTCTAAACAAAGTTATCGTTCACACGGACAGATAGATTGACAGACAGACAAAGGAACAGACGGACAGACCAACAGGCAGACGACAGATAGCAATGCAAAATTATAAACGATCTCTAGGATCGTTAATAAACGGCAAAAGTGTAAAATTATGGAACATATAAAAAACGGTTTTTTGTTTTTTTTTTACAATAACTTTTTTTGTAAGCGGTACAGAAAAAATTCCTTCCTTGGTACAAGTCTCGACACCATAACGAACCAAATAGCGAAAAAAGTAGAACAATAGCTCTTAAGATAAAGAACTATAGTAGTAGCGTCGCAAAACGAGCGGACGGACGGACGGACGGACAAAGTGGCCACAATAGCGCATTTTTTTTTGTGGAAATGCACTAAAAAGCTTCCATTTGTCCCATCATACCATATAAAATGTAGTGGTATGTCATATTCAATTCAAAAAATTAAAAACTAGGGGCGCGATATTAAATTAGGGATATAGGGTTACATTAAGTATAGAACTACCAGTTATTTAGGGATAATTAAAAATCTCACCTGTCGACGCTCTCTCAGAGCACAAGAACGAAGTTGTACATGTGCACCCTACGCTTGTTAGTAAGAGACTGAATTGGAAATATATTAATATTACAATAGATAACGGTTGAGGTCAACTGTAATACGATAATCGCAAGGTTATTAGGTACTTAGTCATACCTTCTAAAGACGAATGCTCGGTAACGGTTTTTGAGTATCTATATTACAATTTTGTTTTTGAAAGAATTAAAATGTCTGTATCAATTACTTTTTCCTGTGAAGGGACATTAATATGCCTCAAACCTTAGTATCCCTTGCAAAGTGTCACAAAAAAATCATTGCGCCAAAAGCAAGGAAAAATGAATGCAATACGCGGTAGTAGCTTTTAAAGCCACAAAATTTGTCTCCATATGCATAATGCCTGTACTATACCAAAAGTTGTAATTGGAAAATGATGTTGCGGGCTATTTTTCAATTTCCCTTGTTTGCTTTCCAATTGATGTGTTTCACGTCAAATAAACCACACTCAAAATAGGTATATACCTAACGCTTATTATTTTTGAAATAAATAAATTATATGAAATATCATGGTTCTAGTGGTGCACCACACGATTTGGATCGTATTACAATTTTTGCAACTTTACCCTTCATTAACCGCAGCAGTCGTGTGGAATTTCGATGAAATTACTTTTTACTGGGCAAACATATAAGTCTTAAGTTCGGTGGCAATCTCTTAGCGAATGGAGCAAAGAGGTTTTGTGAAACTAAAGGAGGATTTTGTAAAAACTCCCCGTGACAAGTGACTCAACAGTAAACCCAACTTTCGCCTGGGGTAATTAGAAAAAATTCGTTTAATGAATGGGATTGTGTGGTATTTCCAAAGGAAAGGTACTACACCATGGTGATTCAGTGAATTTCTCTTAAACGCTCTAAGGCAGGGACCAAATAGTACGTGCAAACTCTTAACCATGAACTTTACCTTGAGCTTTTTTCATGAAGCAAAACACATAAATCGATTTTTCTCTCTCGATTAACCGCTGCTTTGATTTGCGTCAATGCGCACTTCCTGTTTTGGAATTTGGACCAGTTTTGATTAGGTTCCCCCTTAATATGCGGGCGAAAAACTCGTTAATTTGTTGTTTAATGATAGGTATTCTTTAATTGATGACCGACTACTTACAGATACAAGTTACCTTGAGGATTTACCCAGCCATTTTTCTTAAGGTTGGTTTGGCAAGCTTATATATAACGCCCGTGGAAAATTGGTAAGCATTAATTAGTCAAGTGTGGTGCAAAGTGTTTTTGTAAGTAATTTTCTTTTTCTTCGTTCATTATATTTTAATAGCCATTCACTTTTATTGCACCTATACCACAGGCGCCTCATATTGTACAAGAAGGATGTACCTTTCAACATTTGCAATGCAAATTTATAATTCCTACAACCACTAAATACGCACATGGAATAAATGCGATTAATTTATTAAGCTCTAAGACAAAAGTTACGTCAGAGTGTTACTTGATTCATTGCTAACAAGTTTTTATCTTCTTGTTATTAGTTTTGGACTCATAGCTAAACGTGTCAATTTGGTAGCGAAAGAAAGACGTCGAGATGTCCCGCTTACTTTCCATTCTGAATCTTTTCTTCTGCGCGAGTTACATAATTTGTGTAAGATGAAACCCTTACTAATAGGGCGAAATTATATACAATTTTTAGGCTCCCCACGGCCATCATCGCATCCACAAGAACTTCTACGTAGCAAGTGACGGCGAAGCAGCATCACACACAAATCGTAAGTACCGCCTACCTAATATCAATCATCTAATTAAATAGTTAATGACCTAACTAATGAGTCGTGATCCTGAAAATTGATTTCTCGACCTTCGACGTCCAAAAAACATTTTTTACTGTGTTTTTTTGCCCAATGTGCGGTTTCTTTCGTTAAGGACCTTCAGTAGCTAAACAAGGTTTTAATTTACAACAACCCTTTGCAACAGCTATTTTGCCATCCAATAAGTTGTTCTAAATACTGCAATAAATCATATGAATCCAAGTTTCATTGAGATTTTCTTGATTTTTTTTTACTTTATCATAAATTTTTTTTCTAAATATAAAGTAATTTTATTTAAACAAATGAAAAATTAAAAATTTCTAGACTAAACATTCATAATAACTAATAAGTAATAAATTTCTTCCATGGGGATATATAGTTTGTATAGTAGTGCCGGTGCAGAAGCAAAAAGTAATAACAAATAAAATATAATTACCGTGCATAAAGTAACTAATCATTTATTCAATACTGTCATTAGAATTTATGCAAATTATTATTATCATCCAGTTATTTACACTTATTGTTGCTACTTTTATCGTTCGAACGACGGGCTATACAGGGTCATTAAGAAGTAGACATAGGGATTTACGTGTGTTGTTTTTCCCTATGTCTACTTTTAAAAGACAAAATATCTTCTGAAGAGCGCCTAATTTTATGCATCTAACATAACTTTTTAAAACAAATAAACATCTGGCTGTCATATTAATTAGTTTGAATATTGCTGTTTTGACTTAACAGAAAATAAATCTTTTACGCTCCTTAAACCGTTACAGTCACTATACTAATTGACAATACCAACTTCTCTTTCATCGCACACGAACGAAAATAAAAATACGGAACCAAAGCAACAATATTCAGATTAATTAATGTGACAGACAGATCTTTATTTGTTTGAAGAAGTTATTTTGGTTGCATAAAATTAGGCACCCTTCAGAAGAGATTTTGTCATTTAAAAGTGGACACAGGGAAAAACAATACGCATAAATCCCAATGTCTACTTCTTAATGAATAGCACTGTATATGGGCATACATTTTCGAAATCAATGCGTAAACGCGCCTTATTATTCTGTTTTCTTCTCGCTCGAACCTAAATTTACTAATGGCGATCGGTCAATTCGGTGAAATGCACTCTACATAAAAATACATTCTTTAAGTTTACAAATATGGAGGGGAGCATTTTGTCTGGAACACTAGATAATTCAAAACAAGATTTTTTCTAGGAACTTTTTATGATATCCAAAATTGTACAAAGTTTGCTACTACGCATACTTTAAATGTTTGGTCAGTGGCGTACTTCTGCATGGTCAAAGTGGGCATTTTTTTTAATGGAAATTACCGTTTTCGTTATATATTCTTAAAGAGTACTTTTTTTTGTATATAGCAACATAACAAACATATTATGTTACATAATTAAATTCAGGAGAATCAGAATCCTTGTGTTAGTTAATTGCATAATTAAACTAGTTTTAAAACACCTTATTCTTTTGTTAGATACGTCAGGAATTTATTGTATCAAAAATCATTAAATATTTATAAGTAAATGTTTCGGAGAAATCAACTTTACACATACACATAAAAAGTTTCTTTGAAAACAATGTTGTTTGGGAGATATATCCAGTGCTTCAGACAAAATGTTCACCCTGTAAATTAATTTTCTTAAAAAATATTTCAATTTCAAAGCGGTGAAGATTATTCTGACAATTCTGAGAAAGGGAGGATCCCCACCTAAAAGTGTAAACCACTTGATCCATATTATTCATATGAACAATAATGGGTCAAGAACACTCCCTTGAGGGAAGAGTTTTTACCATCGAAATGAACAAACTGCCTCCTTTGCTCCAAATAGCACTTCAATAGTTTGTTGCACTCTCTCCTTACGCCGTAGTGCTCAATTATTAAGTCTTAATAATTATAGAAACACTGCAATTTTTCGTTGAGAATATTCATTCAATTAGTTATTAGTCCCATCGATCTAAGATAATTAAGTCTTTGACACCTGTAGAAAATATTTAACATAAAAATATTTTTTAGTTGGAGCTTCAGGTGGAATAAGTGTTGAAGGTTCGGCGACTCTCGGAGGTGGAGGCGGCGGCATCGCCGTGGAAAAGCACAAGGTTATCTCTGAAAAGGTTATCGACGTCGAAGTGCCACCAGAGCCCGAATTTAAAGCGCAAAAAACCGTAATCGAACGCACTTACGTTCCTCAGTACGCCGAGAAAACGATCAGAGTGCCGACATACGTCGAAAAAACGATCAGGGTACCGTCGTACGTGGAGAAAACGGTCAAAGTTCCAATAGAGCCGAAGATTATCGAAAAGGAAGTCAGCCGTGAGCACGTTGTGGTCCCTGCGGTTAAGGTTACAAAAGAAGTGGGATACGTCCAGTGAGTTTTAGCAAAATTTTGTGCAGAAATCAAGGTATTTGTTTCAGTAATGGTGGTGCAGGTTTTAGTGCCCACGCCCACGGCGGAGGACTTTTTGATGGAATTTTTAATGTAGTATCTCAACACTAATGATAAAATGTACTTAACATTTTCCACCCACAGATCCCTATTCAAACTTTGGGCGCCGTCAACGGATTTCTCAACGGTTTAAGCGGTGGTGCTGGATTCCACGTTGGAGCCTCGAAAGGAATTGCCGTCTACTAGAACATATTTGTTACCACTAAAAGACCTTTTTATAAAAATGAAAATATTTTATTGTTAAATTATACGAAAAGAAGAGAAACGTGACTCATTTACTCTTCATTAAATGTTTAAGAGCACACGGGCGCTCGATCCATCTTCTTGTACACGCGGCCCATCATAGTAATTTCTTTTTTTAGTTTTCCTGGGAACTCTGCTCGCATTTGCATTACCCGAATTGTAACTCGATGCGGCAGCGGCGGCCGCGTTGCGATTACTTAATCTTAACCTTCTCGTAGCTTGTAACAACTCGTTTACAGAGTTTAATGTTGCGATCGGTATCTACAATAAAAATTGTCAGTATAACAAACAACTTGCAAAAATTGGTAAATGTTAAAAAATCAGTACTGACCTATCCGTTCATATTTTGGCTGTTAGTACTTTAGGTCGTAAGCGTTTGATGATGATATATTCCCGTTCGAAACGTCTCTATTTAAAATTAAAGTGTTCAGTTATTTTTTAGAGACTGTTCGTTTGTAAAGATTTGAATTTTATGATCAATGCACTCTTTCCAATCCAACCAATATCATATTTTATTTTTTATTTGAGTATACAGTGCGTCATAAGCCTCGGAACGGTTTTCGGGTATCTGTGACCAGTTTTTTTTAAATAGAGTAAAGCTAGTAAAAAGCAAAGAATTCAATTTTCTTACTATTGATTGAATATACAATAAAAAACGGCCGTAACATTTTTGTGATCAAATTCTTACGTAAAAATTGTTGCAAAATATTTTTGGCACAAAAATGTTACTTTCTAAAGAGGAATTAAAGGGTCATTATTTCTATTATTTTATACCGTAGATCAGAATATATTCGCCTATAGTATTTCTATATCAAATTGTTAGGGCCATGGGTCTTTTTGTGATTTATTGTGGAACAGTATGTGGTCAAAGGTAATTAGAAGACATTTATGGAGGTTTTTGGATTTTAAGGGAGTTATTAAAGACCTGACCCCATGCATCATTAATCAAGCACTGAACTAATTTTCAAATGTAAACGAAAAACCAAAAAAAGGAACCTTTGGTTCCTGAGGTGAATAAAACTCACGCACCGTGAGATGAAATTTTTTCCCTATTATCACGATACATTTTCGGAAAGAGACAAAGTGCGTTTTATGAGTATTTGTCAATAAAATAATAAAAAAACTATACATTGTCAAATAATCTTAAAAGCCGCGCATGTTAAAGTAGCAATAAATCTTTTAGTTAGTTGTATATCAGTTAATTGTCATCATAAATAAAAAAAGTCCTCAAATGCAACTTTGCAATACAAAAATAACGAAAAATGTTTTCGTCGTTGACTCTGGTTTAGAGAATGAGAGCGATTTGAGACTTGACGGTCTGCCCGAAGTGCCTTTAAATGGAAAATAAAAAATTATTAACTAGAGGTTCTTTCTTTTTTTGTTGGTAAGCAATTGCTAATTAGACGTGTGCTTGTTTGCAACCAAAAACGAATTTTACTAATTGCTTGGCAATATATTTTACATGTCTAGGGGTGCAGGGAGAAGAACCTAATAGCTTACCTAACCCTGAACCTATTGCTTATGGTATAGGAACCAATTATTCCTCATCAATAAAAAGCATCATTATTATTTAATTTGATATATTTTGCTACGGATATATCGTTCACATTTTCTCTATAAAAATGGATTACACCCTTTCGAATGTTTATGTTGTACTCAAACAGAGTTATCGATAATTTTTGAAATGGGTCACCCATACTGAAACGTATTTAACCTGATCATATAATTCAAATCTTCGCATAAAAAAGCAAACAAAACTCCACCTCTATATAGAACAATCGAAAGGACTTACGTTAAATATATTGTCAAAGAGCGCGAATCTCTCATCTGACTGCCGTTTTCCCCTTGGATTTCCGGCGGTCACTTTGAATTCCAATTCGTTATCCTGCACATAAAATCAAAAAGAGAGCAATTACTACCACTTTCACCTCCAATTATACAAAATATTAGCGGAACGAAAGAAAGTGCAAGTTTTACTTTCTCCGATACCTTTTCATATGTAATTTCACCCAACGTCTTCGGTCCCTCGACGACACCGGCGATTTGAAGGGCTTGGGTTGTTATAACAGCAACCAATAAAATCCAGACGAATTTATCTAATACGTACACTATCACCTTAAACAAAAGAACCGAAATGTTATTAATAGGACGAGTAATAAATCAAACGTAACGTACCTTACTCATGATGGTCACAATGCACTCAAATAAAACCGTTTGATCTTATACGAATCGCTAAGCTAATGATCGGAAGACGTCCCGGTACCTAACTATATAAACAGCAACAAAGGTTGGAACTGATGTAATTCATGTTACTGACCCAGTAAGGCCAAACACCAAGTAAGTCTGTTATGATAAGGCTTTCTCCTACGAGCACTTTCACATCTCCTTCTTTGAACTATTTCGCGCTCTCGGTGTGGGTTTTTAGAATTTTTGCAAAGTGTGGGAGATTAAGGAACGTTACATAATCGTCGCCAATTTGGATTTATCGCACGCAAATTAGCACGTTTATGCAATTTAAGTTTTGTAAACAATGCTAGTGTTTGACGTCGAGTTTTCGAAGAATCCGGTTTTGTTTTTGATGTATTCATTGTTTGCGTTATTGATTTTTGATAATTGTATGCGCATTCACAAACGTGAGCTTGAAAAAACCCAGACAGTTTGATCCATAATGCATGAGTGTTACACCAAAACAGGTATTTAACGATGCGGCTTGATGAAGATAAAAAAAACGAAAACTGTAAAAAAGAACCTTTCGCCAAGGCATTTTCGTAATTCTTACTAAACACTAAACACCCTCACAAAACCAGTTAAGATTATGCACGAAGATTTGGGCGTAAAAAAATAGGTACCTGGTCCTGGTCGATGGTCGACTGTTTACTCCAAGGCAGTTCGAGAATATTTGGACGCAATGCGGATCACGAGTGGTATTTTTTGTGGATTGTCATTGTCAGGCAACGAAGTGAGGGTGTTTTATTGGGATCCTCCCATAACACAGAAATCAATGCAGTGGTCAGAAAAAGGCAAAAACCAGGCCTTTTCTGGGCGACCATATTTTGGGACTGTGAGGGCATTTTCCTTACTGGATACGTCAGATACGTGTCAAGAGGAACCAGGATTAGGTAATCGTGTGAAAGCACAATTGGACGTAAACGCATGACCTTAAAGCAAAACGACCAAATTCATGACGGATAAAAACTGCGGTGCTGCAAGACAATTTCAAGATCTACAAGGCCCACTGTTTTTTGATGCAATGAAACAGCTAGAGAAACGCTGAACTAAATGTATTTTTTTATGGTAGTTACATACAAAATTTTTTTTTAAAGCTTTGCACGGTTTCGTTCATAGTTAAGTAGAAACATAACAAGAAAACGCCATCGTTTGAGTAAGATCACTCAAAGGTGAACCCATCATATATAACCTTTCAATTACATTTTCCTCTGTTAATCGATTGAATTACTGATTATCGAATATAAAGAGAATGAGAATTCCAAATCGCTAAGAATCGATGTACTACATCAAAAATGTGTGTGGAGTTATGCGATCAAAAAAGAGTTGCTGTGGAGTCACCTTTGGAATTTTTGTTTACATGGCAAATCATATTTAACATGAGCATCCAAAGGCGACTCGACGTCAATCCTTTTTTGATCGCCCCTTATTTAATATTTACGGCATACGAAATTAACTTAAAATTAAAGAATAACTAATTAAATATGTACAAAGAAATTTTCACCTACGTTATAATCGTGATACATATGAGATAGAATTTTCATGGTTAATTAGAAATCAACATGTTTATAAAGAAGTGCATATATCGCGATTTCTACTATAGATACAGCAACGTGAAAGTCCACATAAGATATAATTAAGTACTAATTATTCAACGAATGTTATATTCATTTTACTATTTATCATAGTACTAATCGTTGCGGTTATAAAATTCCAATTCTGGTCCCATACAGTTCGAGTACTAAGCACATATTTTATCATAAGTTGGGGAAACGTGGTGAATCCATATTGATGTAAAACGAATAGTTTTTTTGGTAAATTGGACGAGGACAAATTGTAACGTTAACATATCGACGCTATTATATTGGGAATAAATATGCAACTCAGACAAATTTTAAAGAGAGCTTTTATTTATTTATTGATTTATTATTTATTATTATGCGATTTTACGAAAAGTCAAAACTGATAGTTAGTTTGTTATAAAATCATGGCTATTGTTAATTTCTTCAAATTGTTACTAATTTATATCTTCGTTTTCTTCTACTATTAGTATCTACTATTTTGAAAATAAATACGGACCTATCATAGCATTTTAAATTCTGAACAACTTTAAATTAATTTTCATGTTGAAAAACCCCCAGGTACCAATTTTTGTTGAAATCAACATTTTTTTTCGTACCTCCATTTAGGTGTCCTGCCTTTCATTACAGGAATTTTGAAAAATTTTTGCAAAATCGGAAAGGGCATACCCGAAAACCTATTCAAATACGTGCCACCAGTCTCTTATGGTTGTTAAGAAAAAAATTAAAGAAGAAAATATGCAAATTGCACCACTTTTGGAGGTGGCTCCCAAACGAAACACGTTGGACCTTCGGTTTATTTGGAAAAAGTGTTTGTTTTGATCACCTCTACCACCTAAATTTTTACATACTTATATGTAGCACTCTATATATCTGGTGCCGTTACAATAGGTAGAAGAAATCTACCTAAAAGGCGATTTGAGATGATTTGGGAGCAAAACAATACTATGCTCTGTCGGGGCTTCCCCATTTTGAGTAATTACCGAGAAAGTTTTTAATGAAAATGTATTACAATAACTTACTTTATCATTAACCTTTCTTCCACATCCAAAAAATGTACCTATTTAACGAAAGCAACGTCCATTTTCACTCTTTTCAAAGAAATAATGTACGAAAGAAAGGGAGTTATGTAATACTAGTCCAGGCAATAAAGAACATATGAGGACCTTAGCTTGCAAAATTAATGGTAGTTCTGGAAAGAGGCTTAGGTACTTTATGTTTTTTGGGATGCTGAATCCAAATTTTTAATTTCCCACCAAAAATTCCCTCCGCAACCCTCCCAAAATCTTGAGAATAAGAAAAAAATATGTTAAGAAAATAGAAATCGTTTTTTTTTGTTGTTTCACGAAATAAATACCTACAAATTTGAAATGTAATATAGTATGCAACTAAAAACGACCTAAAACAGTTTACGTACTACGCTCGTAGGGGGCGCTGGCGTGCGTTGAAGTATGCTCATTGGCGATTCAGGCCCACTTCGCTTAACAACCCACGGCGTTCGTGTTCGCTCACCCTCCACCCGCTTTACCTTTCGTTTTACCCACCTCCCTCCTTTAATCTCTCTTTTTTTTCAGCATCTGAAAAACCCTCAACCTCCAACTTTCCCCACCTATTTTCAGACAAGTTCAGAATTAAGAACACATCCACATATATTTTAAAAATATAAACTTTTATTACTAAACATAAATTAAATTATTAAAAAAAAATTTTAAATTACTCTTTACCATTTAACCGCAGCTCATGGCCCAGGTTTATCTATGTCGCTGCTGAAAATTAGGTTAATTCGCGAAAAAGATTTAATTTGTTTCAGTCCCGTTTTTAAAGTAGATTGATTGGTCCATCGTTGACGGAAGACCAAAAAGGAAGTTTAGAAACGACTAATCTGACAAATCTTTTGTATTTTCGGACTCTAGAAAAGCTGGACCGTGGCCAAAAATCACATATGTAGAGTCACAGTCGCTGAAAGCGTGTAAAAATAGTATATTTGTAGCGACTGTGTTTTCTTCAAGACCAAAGGGCGAGTAGATCTGTTTTGAAACTTTGCCTTTGTGGGGCTTCATGAAGTAAATATTGGCGGATTGAGCAAGTACAGTTACTAGAACTAATAAATCTATATTTTCGCCGACAATAATCACCGATGGATGAATTGATGCCATTTCAATTTTCTGTATTAAGGATGAGACAGTGTGCGTTATCGTCCTGACGTGCGTGCGGCACCAAGGCGCGAACGCCCTACTCATTCGCCCCACGTCAAAATATCATATGATCTTTTTGTCGCAAATGTTGCCTACTTTCCGAAGTTTATCTCTGAAATACACAAAATAACGGTATTTTTAAAAAAACGATATTTTTCTTTTTTTCAAAATTTGGGGGGTTGCGGGGGGAATTTTTTGTGGGAAGTTGAGAATTCGGATTCATAGACACAGAAAACATAAAACAAGCCTATGTCCAGAACTACCATGAATTTTGCATCCTAAAATTATATATTGCCTGGACTAATGGGGTGAATTAAATTTCAGTCCAGACCATATGAAAATATGGGGTTTTCATTAGTCAACTGGACTACAAGAATATTAGGTAGGTTGTGTGTTTTAAAGTCCTTGCTAATTGAGTTTGTAGAGTTTTAGAAACTTTATGCAATGATGCAGTTTTGTTGCATTTGAAACATTGCAAAATCGCTTTACCTAATTTTACAATAAATACATGTATGTCATAGACTAGCTTTATCACCGCCAATTTTAAGATGCAAAAGAATGTACTTAAAAGTACTCACCATAAAATGAACCTTCCTGGAAAAACTATTCGTGTTCACACTTCTGAAACAAAACACAAATTAGAAAAAATAGGTTGTAAAGTATAAATACATACCTAAAATATTGCAAATAGAGCACTTATCACTACACCGGTCAGTAATCAACTAAGTAAACGAATAAACTTAAATGAATCACTGATTCAAAACTTGATTTTGTAACATGCGTTGTGCAGGTCATACGCTCACCTTTGTCGTTCTTATCGTTATCGTATTGAAAAAGTGAAAACTAAACGTGTACTAAGAATTTTAAGAAACTTTCCATACTCTATTTATCACACAAGACCTAATTTTGTTGTCCAAAAAGATATGCCTTTTTTTCTTTTTTACAGTGCAGGTTTTAACTGCTTTGGCACAAAAAAAATCCTTGTGTGATTCTGGTGTGGTAGGTACTCTTTGATTGTATTTGCAACCGACAACCAAATTTGGTTAAAAGTGTTATGCTTGTAACTGTGATTGAAACTTCTTTCGCCTGCAAATCTTTTCCATTTTCGGTGCTTTTGTCAGTGTGGGCAAAACGGATCTTCGTAATAAGGACCTTCTTGGTTTTGTCAAAAATGAAAGTTCTTGAGATTATCTATAAGTGTTCCTGACGAAATAACTTACAACGGCAACTTGAATGCTGGCCAGCAGTGAGGTCTTGGGAAATTATTGGTAACTCTGACCAATGCATCGGTTACCTTTAGCTCATGGGCATAGCGGTCCATTGCGCATCCAGACGACTTTTAACTCTGCAAAAGGGTAGGTGAACGACATGGTGCAAGTGCGGTATTACTTACCTACTGACGAAAAAAGTGGGACGACGCGACGTGCTGTTTTCAATGGAAGGGTGACGTTACTAGGATTGAGATAATACTAATTTGGTCCAGCATTCTGAATTATTAAGTTTTCAACT